CCTGGAACGGTGACACTTCACCATTCACATCTGCCCTGAACGGTGACACTTCACCATTCACATCTGCCCTGAACGGTGACACGTCACCATTCACATCTGCCTGGAACGGTGACACTTCACTTGTCTCAAAGTTTTTCTCTTTATGAAGCGTCAAGCTTCTCTCTCTACCTGAGGAGGTGAATCTTGGGAGCAGAAGTTGGAGTCTGACAGGGACTTGGGCTCGTCCTTCTGTGAATTCACCACACTGATATAGCCCTTGCGCGTTAGGCGAGCCAGAGAAACTTTTTAGTTAAGTTACATGAACATCCTACTGTCTCTCTCACCGGCATCGCTCTGTCTGTCCTTGTCTTTTTTCCTTTTTCTCCCAAGTTCAGTACCCATTTAGTGTCAAGAGTACAATTTCTTAGTGCCCAGGCAACAAAGCCCGGGTCCATGGCAAAGTGGTGACTTAGTCCCCTTGATCTCCTCTCGTCCTGATTGACAGTGACTCTGGGGGGTGAATCCCATCCTAATTCAGCTTCCTATCAGATTAGTATTTTCCTCTTACTTAATTGGGGATAGATTTCGCAGGACTCACATTCTCCCAATGAAGTTGTGGCTTCCAGACTTCATTGGTAAAAATCTTTTTGGGTGTTAATTCTTTAGACTGACCCCCTCTCCCAATCCACACCACCACCACCACCACCACAATTATAAAAGAGCATCCTTCAAATGTCCTCATTGCATTCCAAGATATAAGGAACTCTTGTATTCCAAGGATCATAAGGTTCAGGAGCAGCGGAGAGAGATGCCTGTGGTTGTCTCGTGTTCCCTAGTCAGAGAGCTCAAGGGATCCTCTTAATCAGGGATTCGGGAAGTCCCTACCCTGTGGGTGGCTTGACTGTCTTGAAGAAGAGCACTGGGAACATGGAGTGGCAGGCGGATAGTGACAGAGGCACACAATGGCCAGGACTGGCGAAGGGTATACCTCATGCCAGGCATGAAGTTCAATCCCCCATGGGGTAGTAGGCACATACTGTGTATCTAAAATCAAGCTTGTACACCATAGCTCAACGGTGTATCCTGTGAATGGTATATTGCACAAAAGGCTATTTGTTTACTTATTTTATTGTTCTAGGGGTCAAATCCAGGGCTTTGCATAAGTTAAGCAAGCACTTTGGCACGGAGCTATACCTTCATCCCCCACAAAGGGCCTTTTGAGAGAAGCCGTGGTTAGGATTAAAACTGCCAGGCTTGTGACGAAAGCTTTCAGTGCATGTCAGACCCAGGTTAGACACGAGGGGAGGGGGCTCAAGGAAGAAGAGCAATTATGAAAGGAGAGACGTGAAGATCCAGCAGCAAACACCGCCTCGTCCAAGAAAATAATCCTTGTGGGTAGAACTAAGAGCGACTTGACATTTTCTCATTTTTCCGTGTTTGTGACCTGGCTGGGAAGACTGAAACGCGGGGCACCGAGCCTTCTTTATCAGCGGAGATTCAGAGATTGCTGCAGGTTTGGATGCTAGCACTGCCGATGGCTGGTGTGCGGTTACGGAGTCCAAACCCAACTAGATAAGATGCGTCTAAAGACCTTCGTGAAGCGGGCGGGAAATTTGAGATTCCGTATCCTTGTCGTTAGTTTATGTCCAGATGGTTTTTCCCTAATAGGTAAACTTTCCGGCCCTTTAACTCATTGTATTTAAGTATCTAAACACTTAGTAAAGAGTTTGAGAGCAGGAGTGTGGCCAGTGGTAGGGTACTTTCCTAGCGTGCTCAAGGCCATGGGCTTGATCCTTAATACTGCTAAAGAAAAAAAAGTAGTAAAACTTTGCCTTATGGGGAAAGTTTGTAAAGAGGACTCTAAGGGCAGTGTTTCCCCTCATTTGTTTTTTCTTGATGGATGTCATCACAAATCACACGTTCCTGGGAAGTTCCAATCAAACCGGTGGATGTGAACCCTTCCGCTTCGCTTACTGCTCCATAATAGCAAATACCATACCCCACATACTTCCCTCCTCATCCAGGAAGTGAGGGGCAAATTTCCTGTTAAAGCGCCTCCGTTCTGAGAAACCATCCGAGGACTACATCAGGTCTGTCTGCATCGCTTGGTTGCTTTTACTTCCTTGAGTCCTTTGGATCCCCGAAACGCAAAGGTGGCTTGTAGGCCTGTGCTTTATAAGGATTTGTTTCAACAGGCGTCTCAGGAAGAGGCTTGGTGTGGCATTTTAGCTCTTCACTGGAGAGCACTTCCTTTTCGGTGGAAGTTGAAGGCGGTGGAAATAACCCTGGCCTTTGCATACTGATAGCAAGCCTGAGAATGAGAAACTGGGCTCCTGTCCAGTGCTACGAGCCAATAACGAAGTCCCAGCTATCAGAAAACTGGATCCTGGCCTCGGGTGTGTGGGGGGGTGATACACAGAGTGTCTTTGTTTCTCAGGGAGTTTGTGGTCTTTCCAGGTCATCTGGGGACTTAAGGTAGCGAGGATGAAGGCCGGCCTCCTTGATGGGGCTGAGGCTTGTCCTTGTCCAGCCAGTCCTTGAGTGGCATGTGGCTTTTATTGTTAGCCACTTCTACCAGTACTCTGGAGGGTGGCTTTGAGCTTGCCCTGTATTATGGAGACATCCTGTACTGGCATGTGCGTCCAAATCTTACATTTGCTTCTTATTATCTCTGTGATCTTGAGCAAGCCGTTTGGCTTCTTCTTTAAGCCTCAGTCCCACACATGTAAAACAAGAGGACGCTTTATCAAATTGTGAGGATTCAGTAAGGGGCAAGTGTACAGGGAAATTGCATGGCACAGGGAAATACCTCCGGGGGAATTCAGGGCTTCCCACTTCCTCCTCCTCCTACCTTCCTTTACCACCTTTTCTCTGCCTCCATTCCTGTGAGACTCAGCAAGACTGGAGACATCTGAGGGATGAACATGTTTGAACTCCTCAATGCTCCAGAGAAGACCTTCCCCCAACCTGAAGTGGAGGGAGATTCAGCTACAGAAAACTGTCCAGTTCACTGTATGTGTTTTTCTGTCCATGTTGTACTCTTTTACAAACACAGAGTCCGGGTGGCCTGTTTCTTCTGCGATTCTCAATGTGTTTGTGCGCAGGAAAGGTGGGCATCACACAACCTAGTCTGAGTGTGGTCACCTTGGTGTTGTCATTTTATTCTCTATAATTAGCCGCATTCTTTTCTCTGTGAGTGTCAAGGTCCTGGAGGGCGATGGCCTCAATCCGTTGCATGGGGTAGTTTTCTTTCTTGTTCTAGTTTTGTGTCATAATCCCTGATTCCAGGAAAGAATGGATATTGTCATCCTATTAGTTTGATATGTGTGTGTGTGTGTGTGTGTGTGTGAGAGAGAGAGAGAGAGAGAGAGAGAGAGAGAGAGAGAGAGAGAGAGAGAGAGAGAGAGAGGAGGAGGGTAGAAGGGTCTAGGGCAAAGTAAGCTGTGGTCAGGATTAGGAAGTAGCTTATCCCACTGTGTCCAGTGGGAAAGATCAGGAGAAATTAATGGACCAACCCTCTTAAGTCACTTCTTTCTTATTCCAGCACATTAAGACAGTTTACATGTAGTCATGGGTCCTTGTTCTCCATTGAGAAGGGGGAAAACTTTTTGAGATGAACCTAGAAGAGACAGGGATCAACAATCCTGGAGTCAATTACAAGCCAAAATGATACAAGGAGCAGGATGCAGGGTTCCAGTGCACACTTACCCCCCCTCTCTCTTCTCCGTCCCTCCCTCCATTCCTTCCTTCCTTTTGGTCTTTTGAGACAAAACTTCTCTGTATAGCTTTGGAGCCTGTCCTGGATCTCACTCTGTAGACCAGGGTGGCCTCAAACTCACAGAGATCTGCCTGCCTCTGCCTCCCGAGTGCTGGGATTAAAGGTGTGTGCCACCACCCAGCCACTTTCATTTCTAATGAGTTTCAAATCCTTCTGGTTTGGGGTTGCAGAAGAAGATATCAAGTAAACTGAGAAAGATTTGAAGCAATAGGGAGTATAATTGAAGCAGAAAGGTACTCTGAGTGAAGTAGCTATAAAGGCTATGCATAAGATCTAACTTTAGGGTCACCCAAGGAAACAGTGTGGAAGGAACATAAATTTGATGATGAAAGATCTCATGATTGGTAAGAACCTCCAAGATTTTGACTCCAAGAAGAGTCAAAAGCTAGTGAGGACCTTCCAGCTTTAGGAACGATTTGGTTCTTCAGAGTTCTATTTGAACCCCACTCCCTGTACTAGAACACGAATTCATTTATCCATCCTCTCTGCTCTGATGATGTTTAGAAGTCTATTACGTTGGGAGCATGGGGGACCATGGGAGAGAACTGAAGGGGAGGGGAGAGGCAAGGAGGGGAGCAGAGAAAAAAATGTATAGCTCAATTAAATCAATAAAAAAAAGTTTATTCTGGCCAGGTGGTGGTGGTGCAAGCCTTTAATCCCAGCACTTGGGAGGCAGAGGCAGGTGGATCTCTGTGAGTTCAAGACCAGCCTAGTCTACAAAGTGAGTTCCAGGACAGCCATGGCTGCACAAAGAAACCCTGTCTTAAAAAACAAAAAATAAAAATGTTTTTTCTCTAATTTTTTTTGAGTCCTATACTTAACTGTTAGAGTGTTGGTGGCGGTCTATGGCCTTTCAAGAGACCTTCCTTCTTATATCCAAAGTAGAGAAAGACTCCCCTGTGGAATAGTACTGAGATAAAAGGCTAGAAGGATCTGGCTGGTGCCCAGAGTGATGGTATTGACTTACTGCATTTGGCAAGAATTGAGGTTCGTGAGACCTGTTTTTATGGCTGATGTCATCCACAAACAGAGAGTCAACCTGTAGGTTCTATTATGACCACAACGAGCCCCAACAATGACCTTCCTTGCTTGGGGTAAAAAAAAAAAAAAACCGCACACACAAGTGAAGAACAGCCAAAAACAAACAATTAAAAAACCCTTGGTTCCCACAATGCACTTGGACTCCTGGGGTCTTCCTGTGGCTACGCAGGAACAAAAGCACAGGCAGGTTTGATGGGGGTAATGGCCCTACCGTTTATTTATGGGGAGTGAAGGGAGGGAGAGGCGCAGAAAAACGTTCCCTCTTGCACACAGAGTCCAGTCTACTGGAGAACGGGTGATTGTTCCTTGCGTTCATCGGCTGCAAAAGTCTGTCTCATCCTCCCGCCCATCCTTCAGTCCCCTCAAATCCGCATCTCCCAGGAAGCACTCTGCAGTAACCGCTCAACCAACCCTGGCTAGGGAAGTTCTCGCACGCCTTGCATTAGCTTGATTGTGCTGCAGGGAGGACGGGAGAACACAAAGCGGGGCCGAGGGTGAGGGTTCTGAATTGTACTGCCTGGCTCAGGGTGTACTGGGCCAGGTGTTCTCCAGGCGTTCCGTTCTCCCTTCTTCCCTTCCTCAGCTCCGGGGACACCAGACTCTGACGGGCCAGTCCCACCACCAAGCTCAGAGGCATCAAGCCCAAGAACAGAATATAGACACAAAACACCAAACAAATTGAGGGTGGGCTCCCAGGCAGATGCTCCGTTGGCCAGGGTCATTTCTCAACCCTTAGCCTCTGTGGCATGGGCTATGCACAGTGGGGAAGGTGGGGTTTCTGGAGCAACTCAGTGCTGGGAAATAGTCCTCCGTTCCCCAAGGCTGTAAGGAATACAGGCACCAGGGATGGCTTATGGGCAGCAAGAGGAGCTAGGAGAGTGGACAGCAGTTTCATAAAAGCAAACTTCTAGCTGCCACTAGTGCCCTTGGGAGGACAAGATGGCTGAGGGGCCTTTAGGGAAGAGCAGGGGACAAAGCCCTGAGCACTACGCAGTCAGCTGCATCCTCTTCATTTTCCACCGGGGAGCCAGATTTGTGCTTGATTAGAGCTTTGGAGGAAGGTGGTAACAGAGGTGCTCGCAGGCCACCTTGGTGGCAGCCAGTTCTAGGGTCCTCTGCAAAGTAGCCCCAGTCCTTGGAGAACGAAAATGTGCCCTGTCCTCCTCCCTGGCCCGTCCCCATCACAGTGCGGGATCCTCAGACGTGAGTCTGCATCCGCCGCTGCAGGGGTCGACTGGGGTCGGAGTTCTGGGAAGAGGACTGGGAGTGGTGGGAAGAGGAGGCAGAGGCCTTGCTGGCCTTGTCGAACTGCACGTAGCCGTCCTGCTTGCCGCTGCTGCTGACACTGCTGTCGCACTGCGTGTCCAGGAAGGAGCTGCTGTCGCTGAGGGAGCCCCTCTGAAACTCCCGCTCGCAAAGCTCGATGGAAGAGCTGCCCATGCCCAACACGAACCTCTGTCCGTAGTCGTAGAGGCGGCCCTGGCCACTCAAAGTGCTGTAGATGTTGGTGAAGGACATGCCTGTGGGCACGCGCTGTTTGCCTGTAGGACGCAGGTCTGGCTGGCAGCTGGACAGGGAGATGGTTGGGGTTGAGTGGTGCTCTTTGAAGGTGTTGACGCTGTAATAGCCATTGGTAGGGTCCTGGGAGGGCAAGAACAAGAGGCATTTCACTAGGGAGCCTTTACTGGCAGGAGGCTGGGCTGGCCAGCCCTTCTTCGCACAGGGGAGGCATGGAGGGGAGGAAGGGATGGAGAGGAAGGGTATTGACCAGAAAACCGGAACGGTTAGCATGGCAGGGATGCGAGCGGAGCCTGGCACTTGCTCATTTGTCAGCAGAGGAGGGGAAGCTGTACAAGACCCCGTTTATACAAGGGGGATGCAAGATCATTAGAAAAGCAGTCTCTAATTGTTTTTGTGTGTTTGTCCGGAACATGAATACTGACTTTTAAAATCTATATGTGATAAGGCTGTGGGAAGGGAAACCTGTAGGAATCCAGCCTCAACTCAGGGGCAAGGAGAGCAGGAACTTTCAGCCCCTCACCCTCAGTGACACCTGTCCCCGACCGGCCCTGGGCACTTCCATTCTGCATGCTGTTGTGGTTCTTTGCCGAAGGCATGGGACCATCATCTCTATGGTCCAGCCCCACTGTGGCTACCCCTACCTTTAGGTTCTGGAACTCCTTCTCCTCTTCTTTGAGGACCTCCAGCTGCTTCAGCACCGAGTCTTGCTGGAATTCACCCCGGTCCATCTACAACCCAAAAATGGCTAACTCAGTGCGGAGAAGGTGGGCTCAACTCCACCTCCTCCCAGGAGAAGATGAAGAAATGAGCTCCAAGGCTTGCCACATGTCTCCCCTGTGCATCCTGGACTGCAGAAAGGCGGGTAAAGAGTTAGGATACAATTCCAGACCTCAGTAAGGTTCTGGGAGCCCTCATTCCAGGACAGAGACAGGAGGGGAGAGCGGATGAAGCATCAGTATGACTGTAAAGCCGTGTCTTCTTCCATTGGGCAGGGACACCCTCACCAGACTTCTCACTTGAATATTTGTTGAAAAATTCGGGCCAAGCCATGACTAGGATCCCTGTGTATACAAAGTACGATGCAGATAGACAGAGCTCTCTCTGCTCACCAGGGAGATAGATGTACCTGAGGTAAGTAAGCAACCCCAGAACATCAACACCGGGTATAGACCAGGCTCTTTAGGGCAGTCTGTCACCTGGGGCCGGGATGTTGGAAGGAGTCTTTGTTGAGATGCTGGCAACATAGGTGCTATGATTGGATCTGAACTATCCCCCTGAAAGGCTGTGTATTCAAGGCTTGGCACCCTTCGTGTGGCACTGTCAGGAGTAGTGCTTAGTAGAAGGAAGTGAGGTCACTGGTGGTGTGCCTTAGAAGAGGTCACTGGAACCTTGGTCCCGCTTGTCTCTTTTTGCTTTCTGGCGAGCATGAGGTAGACAGTCTTCCCTGAGGCAGACTTTGCTGTGATGTTCTGCCTTGACATGGGTCTGAAGGCATAAAGGCCACACGAACGTGGGCCGAAGCCACAACCAAAGAAACTGTTCCTCTTTTATTTTAATTAATGAATTAATTGATCTCTGTGTGGCGCATCCATGTACTCAGGTAAATGCACGTCACGGTGTGTGTGTGTGTGTGTGTGTGTGCATATAAAAGGGCAAATTTCCAGAAGTTGGTTTTCTCCTTCCTCTGTGGTCCTGGAGTTCAGACTCACGCTGTAGACTTCAGCATCATTGGCTTTTCCCTTCCGAGTCACCTCGCCAGAGCGCTGCTGGTGGTGTTATGAGACAGAGACTCATTCTGTAGCTCGAGTTGACCTGGAACTTCCAGCAATTCCCCTGCTTCCCAGGTCTTAGAGGTATGAGCCACTATGCATTTTTCTTTGTGAGTATATTGTGTATATATGTATCTTTGTGTGTGTGTGCACATGTGTGTGCACATGTGTGTGCGTGCACATGTGTATGTATGCAAGTGTGTGTGCAGATGTAGGTGTAGGCTAGAGGTTGGCATTGAGTATCTTTTAAAATCACGTTCCATCTTATTTTTGAGACAGGGTCTCAACTGAGCCCAGAGCACACCAATTTAGCTAGCGTGGCTGGTCAGTCAGCCCAGTAGACCTCCTATCTACACCTCCCCACGACTGGGACTGCTGGGCCTTTTTCACATGAATTCTGAGAGAAATGAACTCGGGTCCTCATGGTTGTGTGTCGAAACAGCATGTCAACTGAGCCATCACCCCCTCCCCCCAGCCCTGACTTTCTCAGTGTCTGTCATAGCAATAAAAAGCAGACTGAGAGGCTAGGTCACACCTGTTCCTCACAGCAGTGACTGTCTTCCTCAACATCTGCCAAACAGCCTGAGGGAAGAGGGAAAAGGGGAGAGACCTTGCTCTCTTTGAATCCCCACCACACCTGGCTGAGGATGTGTGTCTTGCCCATCACTGACTGGAATGCCTCTGGCCAGGGTGAGTGCTGGGCTTGTTATCTGAGAATGAATGGCGGCTGAGCTCTAAATCACTGAGCGTAATGATGAGGTGTAAGATCAGGAGGAAGCTTCCATGTTGGCGCAGAGGGAACACAGGGATGCTTCCCCAGACTTCAGGTACCTCAACCCAGCAGTGGTGCCCCAGCGCAGGCTCCCACCCAGCTCTCTGAGAGGTGTTTTGTTTCTATCTCTTGCATTGTCTCAGTCTTGGAGGCCCACAGAATGGGCCAATGTGCTTGCATCCTGTTATTCTCTCACTAACTGCATTGCTTTTTTCCTCTCCATTTTTTCCAGTAAATGTTTTGGTTCTATCTAGATTGTTGTTGCTCTTCTCCACCCTCCCCCCATAAAGCATCTAAGCCTACTTCCCCTTGATGATGGAGTGTTTCCCAGACCACAGGGTATAAGATCTCCCAGCGTGGAGGAGGGGACTGGGAGAGCATCTTCCCAAGGGAGAGACTAGTTCCAGAGCCTCAGCAAGTCCCTTCTTCCAAATTACCCCCTCTGCTCTTCCCCAAATACTCAGGGACACCGTTCCTCTTTTGAGGGCTCGACTGTGAGACAAAAGAAATGCCTCCTTGTGAGAGGTTAGAATGGAGGAAGCGTAAGCAGCGTCATTTTTTTTTTAGGTCTGGGATGTGAGTTCCCTTTTGCGTGAAGGAACACCTCCCTGAGTCAGGTACTAGCTACTGTGTCAGGGAGGCCCCAGGGGAAATATATGACCTTTGCCCTTGAAAAGCTCCAGAGTCTTTGGAGAGGTTTCCCTGTCCTCAGCAGCGGGCTGTGAAAGGGGCTCAAGGGAGTGCAGCAAAGAGGGCAGGACTAGCCATTGTGTGAGGAGGGGCAGGCCAAGAAAATCTTAGGGTGGATGACATTTGAAACATATCTTATTGTAGGACATGAAACTCAGCGGGCGTGTCAACAGGGAGAGGGGACATGGGTCCCAGGACTCCTAGACCAGGAATCACCCATACTTATGTCTGGAAAGCCAGATCTGTTTGGCTGGAAGATGGAACTGGAAAGATTGGCAGGTACTTTGGAGCAAAGGGAGTGATGACGTATTGGGCAGCTGGACTTCATCCAGCAGATGTGGAAGCCACTGAGAGACTTCAGTAGATTATCACAGGAGAAAATTTACCTTTAATATTTTATTTAGTTTGAGACGGAGTCTCATTAATTAGTTCGGGCTGGCTTCGAAGTCGCAAAGGCACTGCTGTTTGCTTTAACCTTCTGAGTGCTGGGGTTCCAGGTGTGTGCCGCCAGATTGGTAGTTCAGAAAGGCGCTTTTAGCAAGGTCCCAGAGGCTTGACTGTGACAAGTGGCCGAAGCCAAGGTCCATTAGGGGGTTGCTGCAGTGGTCCAGGGAGCACTGGCAAGGCTCCCAAGAAGGAAGTAATCATGGAGGAGAGGTGGGACACGTATCTGGGATATGTTTTTGAAGCAGAATTGACAGACCCTGAAAATCAATTGACTAGAGAAAGTGTAGCAGAGAGAAAAGTCAGCTCCATTCGTCAAACATTGGTGAGCCTCTGCCAGGGATGAAGTAGGCGGCAGTTGCTCCCCATCTAGTGGGTATGTTTAGAGCAACACAATAGTTAGCAATTCCTGGGCTCTTACAAGCTCTACATTCCTGGATTCTGCACAGTGGATTCCACCAATCACAGATCAAAAATATTTGGGGGAAAATTGCCTGTACCGAACAAGCAAATTTTACTCATCATTAATCCTTAAGCAATATGGTACAGTAATTGTTTATATTACATTATAATACATTACATAAGTAGAGATGATTTATGTATAGGAGAGAATACAGGTAGTTTCTGGGTAAATGTTATACATACTTTATACAAGAGACTTGCACATCATCAGATTTGAGTATCTGGGAATCAAGGGACCAAATCCCACACAAAGGTCAAGGGACAACCCTCCTGTAGCCCATATTACTCAGGTTGTTACCCCTGTGATCCTGCTGATGACCCTGCATATCACTGTGCTATATCCATCTAATAGACTGAGGCTCAGAGAAGCCCATGTCCTTTAATCCTTGCTCTCTTGTTCCCAGATATTCCCACCGTGTTAAGTGCGCTCTATGAGCTTCTGCCTGGACAGAGAGGCACATTCTGGTCCTTGAAGAGAGGATCAGGAAGAGGAGGTGCCAGCTTGGTGCTGCTGGAGAAGTTTTACATTTGCTTCTGATAGACATCCAATTCCCAAGAAGGAACCAGTGCTCCTGGAAGACTGTGTGTGTGTGTGTGTGTGTGTGTGTGTGTAGACTGCATGTAGCCACACATGTAAATTTAAGCATAGATTCGTTCCCTTCTCAATGGTCAGGATCCAGGTCATTTTACATGCATTATACATGTCTTTGAATCTCCCATGTTACTTCACAGATGCACAGGCAAAATGCTCATCGGCTGAGCGTAGGCCTGGGGCAGGAGGGGTTTTTCTGGATGAGCTGCCTCACGGCAGGATGGAGAGGATCAAAGAATCTCTGTTCTCAGGATGGAGTGGGGCACGGGTGGCATTCTTACCATCAGCTGCTTGATGGTGGTGTGATCTTCAGCCTCCCGACCAGAAGTTGGCTCCTTGTGTACAATCTCCACTCGGATATCATTTTTGGCTGACACAACACCTTTGAGATCTAGACATAAGATAAGAGAAAGTGTAGACAAAAAAAAGTCAGTTCTCCTCCTCAGGCAAGAGAGGTCAACTTCCCCACAGGCCCACGCTGCCACCCGTTTTCCCACCCCACCTCAGAATTACCCTCCCCTCAGACTCTGAATTTGAAGTTTTGAGGGTTCCCCACCCGCAGACCCTCTGTGGAGATCTCCTTTCGGTTAGAATGGGTCTCAAAGGCTGCCCATGCAGGCTGCCCAGCTCCTGGGTACAGAAGCATCAGTATCTCCTGTGATTGGAGAGGTTGTCCTCTTTCATCCCCTCCCCTCCCCTAGCTAGGCCCTGCCATCCTGAGTCCCCATTCTCTTTGAGAAGTTGTCTCTGTCCTTCTTTACCTGGATTTGAACTCCCCATTTCTAGGGTTACAAATCTTAATGATAAAAAGATCATAAGGTCTCCTATCTAATCCAGAGCACACAGAGGTCTGGCTTCCCTGAACGAGGAGCAGCCTGTGAGACAAATCTTACTGAAATCTGCTCTCCTATCATTCCTATGCAGAGGCAGCAGGGCCATCTTGTTGGGTAAGGTAAGGTTGCTTAGATGGGAGTGGAGAATATGTTAGGGAAAACAGTGGCTTCCTTCCAACAAGTGAAAGGTGCCAGGGGATCGCAACCTGTTCTGGTGACTCAACGCATCCTGATTCTAGAAGCTCAGAGTTGGCTGGAGTCATCAGAGTCTTGCCATCCAACTCTCTAATATCACAAATGAGGAAACTGGGGTCTTAAACACGAGTAACTTGCCCAGGGTCACAGAGTAGAAGACTGAACCACTCCTATCTTCAACTCAACTCTGCTGTCTTACTTCTCCCATACACGGGTAAGGTGTAACTCCGGACCTGAGCTCTATGTACGTACATTCTTTAAGAGTGTGCTGGTGCTTGAGCTGTACTGCTAATGATGAAAGATATTTAAACCAGAACAACTCTTCACATGCTTTTATGCCCTGTGTGGCTGACTTGCTTTTCAGGTTAAGCTAGTAGTTAGCAGAACAAGGAGGGTCAAACCACCCCCCCCTTCCCTCTGAGATTTTTCTATCCACCCCAAAGAAGAGTGCTAGATGTCCAACCCAGAGCCCTGTGACCTGACCTTCTAGATGGAGGCCAGCTGGGTTTGGCTCAGCCTCAGTGGAGTTCCCACTTGCTGCCAGACACCCTCCAGGTGCATGACAGAGAATCGTACCCATCCCTGCCCCAGGAGCTCACAACACTGTTATGGCCCGTTCGTTGCACTCCTGCTTACTTGCTCTCCTGGGCAGCCTAAGCCTGGCCTTTTTCTCTGTCCCCCTCCCTGAGATCCCGGTTCTCCCTCCCGTACTTCTCTGGGAACGGGCACAGCAGAAGGCCACAATGGTTGCCATTAGGACGAGGAAGGCTACACCAGCTCCTACGGCCACCCCGATGATGACGGCCATTGGCACAGACTCTGTGGGAGAGAAACAGACAAGGCTGATGAGGGACAAGGAAGCCTACTGTCCCGCTAGGACCCTACCCAGTCCCTCAGGTGCAGCCCCTGTCAAGCTGGGACCAGATCACTGCTGTGTGGGTCCCTCTCGGGAATGCCTTGGTCAGGCCTGGGCAGGCACGGATGGTCCAATAGGGGTCAGCTCTGGATAGGAATGCTAAGGCTGGATAGAGGACATAGGGTAGGTAGAGAGTAAGAGGAGCCAGGGGAAGGGGTAGATGCTAGACCAGACAGTGGAGGGCCGGGGTGGGGGGTGGGGAGGAAAACTAGAGATGCAGGGCGAGGCTAGCCTAATTTAGCTCTCTTCAGCACTGAGGAAGGGATCTATAATGCATGCAGCAGCTGGTGAGTCATAAGTCCATGGCTTTTCTTTGAAAAAAAAAAAAAAAACATGGTGATGGTCCCTGCCCTTGTTTGTTCGGCTCCTTCCGTACTTCCCTTTCCGTGGTACAGGGAGAGTACACACAACCAACTCTTAAGGTTTTCAGCTCTGAGGCGACTTCCTCTTCCAGCCTGCTGGGAATCAGGACCCACAACCCACATGTGCAAGTGTTGGGACCAGGGAGGTCAATCACATCTTTCTTTGCTACCACAGTGCTCAGGAGAAAAAGCCTTTCTTTTCCAGGACCTCCCCACCTTCTCTTTCAAGGCCAGCCCTCCAACATCCGCCACCTGTTCCAGCCCCAAAGGGCCCAGGGAGCCTCACTTTGCTCTTTTTCCAGCCTGTCTCTGGCTCTTGCCAAATGGGCAAGAATGGTAGGTGATGATGCGGGGAGGGAGACTGATTTCCCATAAAGCTCTGCTCATCCTATGGATGCGTGTGAGCCCTGAACACATGACTTTAGGCCCGAGTCGTCTACCAGGAACAGCTCTAGGAAATTCTGAGGCAGAGAGAAAAGGTGTTAATGAACCCAAGCCTCTCAGTAAAGACACTGAAGTCCAGAGAAGTCAAGCCACCTGTTCAAGGGCATGAATTGCTACTGAGTGTGAACAAGGTCAACCCAGGTCTCTTCATGTGACTCCCAAGCTCATCCTGCTCTGGTCTCTGGGTCACATGGTGTCCTACAGGTGTCATGGACTCCATCCAGCCCAGGTTGCTTGCTCATTGTCCCCACTTGCTCCATCCCACCTTCCAAGCAGCGTATTCCCTGTCTCTTATCTGTAGAGTGGAGTAGTTATCGTGTGAAGTCAGGGGCTGTTAAGAGCTTTCGGTGAAAGACTGTGGGGAAAGGTCTTGGAGCAGAGCCAGGGGCCCGGCTCTCATCAAGGATTTGGTCCAGTTACTCCGTGTGTACGGAGGACAGCGGTAGACAAAAGCAATTCCTCTGAATGCCTGAGCTCCTTCCCCACCCACATTCACGGGTGCGGCTGGGCTGACCCGCAGAAGGCAGGCGAGGTGTTTGCTCTGGGGCTCTGGTTACCGTGTCATTGCCCCCCCCATTTGCTGTTTTGGGAATGAAACTTAGGGTTTCATGCATACTAAGCGAGTACCCTGCTACCCTGACCCCAGTTTACTAAAGAGAAAGAGACACCGAGATTCTGGTCCCCATGCTGTTGCTGTGAAGTGGGGGGCACCTACTAGGCAGATCTGGTATCTCACCACCGCAGGATTCCCATGTGAATTCTTTTGTTACCCACCTATTTGTGGCCAAGACTACTGCAGAGGTGACTGAGAGGAGGTAAGAATGGCAAATCCCCAAGACTGAAAGGGGAAGCGTGGGGGTTGGGCTCAGAAACCAGGACTGAGAAAAAAAAGATGCGATCTCAGCCAAGCTGGCTTTGACAAACAGATGTTTCTGGTTAAACCTCATTGGTTCTGTGGTTTGAATTTCTTTGTTTTGTGTTAGATCTGGCACTCTTGGGATTCCTAGTACATTTCCTAGGGGAAACTCAGGGGTGTCTCAGCTCCTCTCAGAGCCAGTGCATACTCTCTTAAAACCACCAGGTTTCAACTTTCCATCCATAGCTCAGAGAACCAAGGTGGCAGAATGGTGGTCACTGCTGACTTGAGCCCTCTAAACCCACATTGTCTTGGGTTGTTAACAGCAGGGGTGCATCTTGGGTAAGCAGGGGCAGAGGAGAAGGGATCTGTGAAGGCAGGTGGCATCCCTTACCAGATCCCCAGTATGTCTCCTCATCTCCTGGCCCCTTGTAGTTTGACTTAGGTCATCTTTTAAGGCTACTTCTTTCTGGACAGAACATTCCTTTGAGAAGGACTGGGGAGGGGTTCCCTTGCTTGGTCCTTTCCATCTAAGGAAGGGGACAGGGCCTGAGGGGTCTTAGTCACTGAAGGAGGAAGGGGCATGACATAGAGACAGGAGAGAGGAACTCCACAGGACCTGGACTCCTGGAGAGTCTGAAGATTTAGGTGGCAGATAATTGCTGCTTCTGGATGGACCACAGGGGCCTCTGCAGGGTGGTTGTGATCTAGACTAATGCTCTGAGAAGGGCAGGTGTGTCCAGGGAGTGGAGGATGTGGGGTCCATGTGTAGCTAATTAACGGAGTGGCGTAGGCTGGACAACCAGTGTGGGCAGAGGACTGAGACAGAGGACCCTCAGGCCCATGGCCACTCCTGCGGAGGAGGATTTACCAAGTCCTGCTGTTCTACTCTGGTGTCCTGCCTGGGGGTGCAGAGGGGACCATTGTCCAGATGGAACCAATCAACCCATGGAGCTTGGTGACCACTCTGCTATGGGAGCCCTGGAGGGGTAGTGTCCAGCAGCCTTGACTTGACGATGAGATGATGCTTCCATGGGGGATACAGGGAGCAGGGAAGGTGGTGAGCCAGCAAGCATGAATGAAACAGGCCCCAGGCCCCTGGGGAGCAATGTTGAGCTGGGGATGGTACTGAGGAGCAGAGTTATGGAGGGCCTGGAAGTGGAGGGAGGCCAGGAAGGGATGGGAGTCAGGGTTTCCGAGGACGAGGGATGGGGGGCGCTAGAGCTGTGTCCTGGGGAGGAAGGAGCCCTGGACTGTGGTATTAGACAGGTGTCTGGGGTCCCTGGATGCCAGTTGTGGGGAGCCCCTCTCCCACTGCTCTGACTTCACTAAATCCTTGACCTGGAGTGGACAGAGAACTTAGCAGCCTCCCTGCCCCTGAATGAGCCCCTCCCCTACTAGCCAAGTGCCCCTCCCTCCACCCCGGGCAGTTCTCATCGGCTCCTTCCGTACCTGCTTCCAGCCCGGCTCCCGACTTCATTTCCGAACCTGTTTGGAAATAAAGCAAGCGTCCACAGCCAGGGCCTGGCTGGCCAGGGTAGGGTGGGACAGGGAATTGGTCACCTGGAGGGGTGAAAGGGGGATTCCCTCCTCTGTCATATCTCTGGGGCCGACCCACAGATCCAGGTTCCCCCAGCTGAACTTGAGTTCATGCAGCCTGACTCCGGCCCTCCGAACAGGGGTAGGGACAGAGAAAAGTCAAACCTGGAGGAGAGGTTTTGGGGGTGGGTGAGAGTATTAGAGGAGGGTACAGGGGTGAGGGCATCGAGGGGAAGACAAAGAGGGTAGGCAACAGGGTACCAGGGAGGTTTGGATGATGTGTGGATGGTATTATGCAAATTATATGCAAAGCGTTATGCAAAGCAACACCTATTAAGAAGAGGTGTTTGGAGACACTGAGACTTGTGATCCTAGGTGATTTACTGAGGCTTGAGGGGTCTGTTGGGGACCACTCGCTGGGCTTCCAACCTCTGATTCAGAGGCCCAGGCCTGCTGAACACCACCCCTGAGCCCCAGGGCTGGGCACTGGCTGGCAAAGGGAAGACCTGCAGCCCATTTCAAGACCCAACACGCTGCTGCTATGTGCCCAGGGAGCTTCTCTGGCCCGGCTCTCATCTTTTGGGGACTCTCTGTTTGGTAGTCTGAGCCAGGGAACTTTAAATAGAGACCAGAGTTCTAGTGTTTGTTCTGGGACGAGGACTTACTGTGGTGGCTAGGCTGGTCTTGAATGTGTGGGCTCAAGTGATTTTGCTACCTCAGTGTACCATATAACTGAGAGTTCAGGCACACACCACCACGTGCAGCACAAGACCAAGCTTTTTAGCTAACACCAGGAGCTAAGCAATGGGCATATGGGGTTCTAGAGATGGGACATAGTGAAGTAAGCTTACTTCATCTTTCCTCCTTCTCTCTCTCTCTCTCTCTCTCTCTCTCTCTCTCTCTCTCTCTCTCTCTCTCTCTCTCTCTCTTTCTCTCTCCAGCAGCTTGGTGCTCCAGAATTGAATTGTGTCTCCTCTAGGGTACAGTGGTCCAGGTGTCTCCTGGGGGTTGCAAGTGCTCTGAGCCCAGCCCCCACCCCCTTACATGGGCAGGGCTTCAGCCGTAGCTTTGGCCCATCCTTGGTCAGAATGTGTGGAAGCCAGGGTCTTTGGAAGCCATGGGGTATTTATCACTGCCAAGAGCCCAGCTCACTCTGTGGTCACCCTTTCCTGAACAGCCTCAGAGGCCATCGCTCAGAGTAGTTTTTTTTCCCTTGCTGGGGCCAATGCCCCTTGCTGCAGAAGGTAGCTCTGTGAGGCTGCGTGGCATTTAGGAAGAGCACCACGCCTCTCCTTGCTCTGGCCTGCGTTCCCTGGTTCCCTGGGCACCCTGGCAGTTCTCACCTTGTTCCTTGAGTCGGATGATCTCTGTGTCAGAGCCGAAGCTGTTCCAGGCTGTACAGTTGTAGATAGTCTGGAAGTCAGCACGAACAATGTTGCTAATGGTCAGTGTGGAGATGACGCCTTCCTCGGTGCTCACTGTCTCCACCGTGTAGCGCCCTGATGTCCCCGATTCCAGCACATTCTCCTTCCAGGACCAGGCCTGCCAGATTGTGCAGGGTTAGGAGAGTCCATGTCAGGATGATGGTATCACCCCTCCAAGATGCTGACACAGTTAGGCTCATGTCTACAGTCACTGCCACACACCACCAATCTAAACACACGTCCCAAATACAATCAGCCCATACAAACACATTATCATACAGGTACATAGACACCATATCAAACATATGACCAACATGTGTCTAAACTAAGTGTGCACACACATACCTCACACCACAAGCACAGACACACGTGCACATTATAAAACACATATGAATGCTCAACACACACATGCACATCAACATGTGCAAACATGGTATGTATACGCATTATTCCATATACCATGAAAATAAACACACATGTACAGTATATTATACACATGCAACCATATAAGCACACACACCACAAACGCTTTTGTACACATGCACATGACACAAGCCAGGTATTCAAAGGAACTTGTAAACTACATCACATCACAATGTACATGTGTATATGTGCCACAGTATGCATAAATATATATCACACAATATAAACATATGCTACACCACATATACTCAACATGCCATACACACAAACATTCATGTTTATATACACACACCAAAACCACATCTGCACATATGGTTACCTCAAATACATATACATATGCACATACCATGACACACAATAGCACATCAGATACTGAATTCCACCAGCATGTGCATATAAACATACCAGAACACATTGTGTAATCATACAATATCATACACACCAAGAACACATGCAAATGCACATATACACACACCATTACACACGTGCATCACACATACCACATGCACACACACATCACAGTATATAGCACATCACGCACACACAATGCATGCACACATCTTCAGCTGATCATGTATGTGCACACCCACAATGGTTGAGAACATCTCAAGGACATTCTATGTGACGCTGCATTGGGAACATTTACTAGACAAAGAGCAACCCTATGTGGCAGCCATGTAGTCCTCCACATGGCCTGGGATTCCCTAGTGCTGGGCCTTGGAGAGATGGTTCACAGTGACTTTACAAATTGTGGAAGGCAGGTTATTACCAGACTTCTCTCCACCTCTCATTGTAACAAGGTGACCTTGAATTGCTTATTCCCCTGTTTTCTCTCCCACTGTTGAGATTACAGGTATGGACCACCACGCTGTTTTTACAGGAGTATGTTTAGAATTGCATGTGCCATCATCTCCATCTCTCTTTATTTACAGGATGTCTTTGCATGAATTTTATCAAGTCAATCATAAACATAACCTTACTCCATGCTCAATGACAGAAGTGAGAGCCTGGCTTTTCTTTCTCTGGACCAGACCCTTCTTAGTGGGGGGCTCTTTGTGGCACGCTTAATTCTACTCACTAAGGCTAGCACCCCTCACCACTGTGGCGACCACAAGGGTCTCCAGACACTGCCCAATGCCTCTAGCGGACCTAGTGAGAATCACTAGCCTAGAAATAAATAACTATAAAGAGAAAGACGGCATACCGACGCTCAAGGGTGACGAAAGGAGATCTACAATGGTTATGTGTTAGACTTAGAATTAAAAAACCTCAAGAGTGAATGGGAGACGTAGGTAATAGTTACTGTGTGCAATTATTTGCAATTTTATATGACTCTTTCAGGCAGTAAATGAGCCAGATGCCTGAGACAATATTTAACAGCAATGATCTTTAACAACGTCTCAGTTTATCAGGCAGCATCTCTGGCACACCAAGGCTCTTATCTGAGCAGTGCCCTTCTGCGTCACAGCCTTCCTGCACTGTCGCACTGTGCAGCTGGCTTCTGGGCAGTCCTCTAGCAAGACCATCTGTACTGGTTTGAATGAGAACTGCCCCCATAGGCTCCTGTGTTTGAATACTTGAGCTACATTAATGAAACTGTTTGGGAAGGATTAGAAAGCGAGGTTCTTTTGGAAAAGGTGGGTCACAGGGGTGGGTTTTGATGTTTCAAAAAGGCTAGTGTTATTCCCAGTTGGTTGTCTGCCTCCTACTTGTATATCAAGACTTGGAGCGCTCAGCTGTTCCTGCCACTATGCCCTTGCTCTGCCATTGTGAACTCCACCTCTCTGACCTGTAAGCCCAATTAAAAACTTTCCTATGCTACCAAGTTACCTTGGTCTTGGTCTTTCGTTACAGTGATATAAAGTAACTAAGACACCATCACTGGGCAGAGGCTTACTAAGACAACACTTTCCCTCAGAAGAGCTACAAAAAGCTTCCCTTTTCTTTGTTTTCTTACTGGAGCAGCTATCAGTTTCAGAAGAGTGTCCAATCTTCTATTTAAAAAGATGGCTTAGTGGGTAAAACGTTTGCCACAGGGGCCCGATGACCTGAGCTGGATCTCCAAAACCTACCTAAGTGTGAAAGGAGAGAGCTGACTCCACAACGTTGCCCCCTGATCTTCACTCATGCACTATGGCATTTACTCTACCTCCGGGTCCTAATCACACAATGATAAGGAATCAAACAACTTAAGTCTTTCTTAAATGCAAACACCACCCTGCAAATGCTGGTGAACTCCAGAGGCTGTCTGGTCTGTTTTAGGGGCTGAGGGGTTGGAGGAGGACAGGATAACACAGTGGCCATTTTAGAGGGACTGTTTCTATCGGGAAGGCAGTGTACACCCTGGACATTAGGACAGAAGAGTCTGAAGAGGATGATTCTGGGAGATGCAGGCATGGGTAGGGCTTGGAGGCCTGAGCACCCTCAAGCGTGCCTGTTCTGAGACAAGAGGCTGCCTTCCCCTATTTTGTCTTCAGGGTGTGTTCTCCAGACACAGATAGGCATTGTTTCCCACTACAGTGGGAAGGGAAGCTCCAGAGTCTGCACAGTTTGCAGGCTGCCCAGGCTTTGGCAGAGGTGACCTGTGGATACTGGGAGTAGGTGCACCGCTGGTGCCTTCACCACCCCTCCCTCCCTGGAACACTCACGATTCGGTCAGGCGGCGGTGTGCTCCGGATGAAGCACTTGATCTGGCCTTTTTCACCATGGAGGGCATGCTGGGTCTGTGTGCTGGAGATGATGGGGGGTCCTGTTGGAAAGATGACATCATGTTAGGGAGGCAGGAAGGGCAAAGCCCCAGCTGGCACCCTCTTTGGTGGGTTCGGAAGTATATTCACCAGTCCAAACATTCAGCAAATATTTTATTTACAGAAGGCCTGTGCATGCAATACAGAGTGTGGGGAAGGGGACCTGAAGATAAATTAGTCATAAACCTCTCTAGGGATCCTGAGTGAATGCTCCCAAGTCAGAATCCCCAGAAGGCATAAATAATAAAAGTTGGCGAGTGTTCATACCATAAGAGCGATGCAGATAAAGTACCAACTGGCTTCAGAGGAAAGAATATAATTCTATCCGCAGATGGGGAATGTTTTGCAAAGAAGGTGGTGAGTTTGGGAAGGGAGTCGAGGCAAGCACCAGCTTGAAGGAGGACTCTAAGAGAAGGAATGTCATCTAGCCTTGCTCCGTTGTTGGGGTTCAAGCCATTTCTAAACTGTCCAGCAGAGGGCACACTTGCCTAACAAACCGGGTTTCTCTGCTGTGTCCATAAGGGAAGAAAAGTGATGTTGCTCCTTCACCAAGGGCAGGAATTACTCTGCAAAGGGGAAGTGTACTAGCTGAGCTCGTAGACCTTAGTCCTATGCAGGCCTCAGAAGATCCTGTAGTTGATTGTCTTGTTTGTCTCCACATGACAGTTGGCCAGGCCAGGTAAAACAACAGCTCCAACCGACCCAGAATTATTTCATTCAATGTGTGTGTGTGTGTGTGTGTGTGTGTGTGTGTGNAGAGAGAGAGAGAGAGAGAGAGAGAGAGAGAGAGAGAGAGAGAGAGAGAGAGAGAGAGAACATGCTTCTGAGGTCCAGTCTCATTTATCACATTGGGCAGCCAAGAAACGCCATCCAGAATGAAGCCTGTCTCATGAAACTTCCAGTTAAGTGTCCTTTATCTGCAGGTGACTTTCTGGGCTGGGCCAGGCAGTTGGAAGATAAGGTTGGGATTGAGGGTGGAGTAAAAACCTTCTCCCACAATTTCCCAGTCCCTGAGGTGATGGTCGAGATTTAGACCGCAGAACAGAGGGAGAGATCTGGAGAACAGGCAAAATTATGCCGAGAACAAAACAAAAATTGCTGCAAACATAATTGCTGTTTATTAACCACCTTAATTAAAACAGATTTGCATTTCTATGAGTAGTTCTCAGCCAAGGGGGAAAGAGGTATTGGGAGAGATGGCTTCTGAGTTTAGAATGGAAACAACTCTATCTGGTGCACAGGATATAGGTGACTTCAAGGTACAAGCTTTTGCCCTCTTTAAAGATGAGCTGACTCTTGCTTTCCTCTGAGTTCCTTGGCTCTAAGAAGCCTTTGGCCCAAAGCCACAGCGGCCCTACATTCTGAGGACCCCCGGTAATGCTTTGCTTTGCAGCTGGGCTGAGAAGTGATGATACCATAAAATCTCTTCCTTTCATTTCCCAGGAACTAGGAATCCCCCAGGGGTTTGCAGGGCTCTAAAAGCTGTCAACAAATACGTATGCGTTTATGGGCTTCTTAAAAGAAAACAAAAAACTAGGGTAAAGGAAACCGGGCCCAGAGAGCCAATCGACCTTCCTCTGGGTACCCACCCAGAGCCAGCTCAGGTTACAGCGGAGTCAATTCACTTCCCAAAGACCACTGGACTGGCTGTCACTCACTGAAGGGGCTGCAGAGCTGAAGAATGGCTGCATTCTAGGCACCCAGGTTCCAATGTACCAGGCTCACCACCCCTCCACCTGTTATCCAATTACAGGCAGGATGGACAGTCCCACCCTGTGCAGGTTGCTCCCTTTGGGTCATTTCCTCCAGGCCCCAATCTCAGTGGGATTAGCAGAAAGTAAGCATGGGGCAGCTTCATTCCTCCTGCTGATTTCTTTAGCTGTGCTCCACCCAGTAACCTAGGGAAGATGTGCAGGCTGAGAAAAAAAAAGGGACAGAATAAATGTTGGCTGGATGCCAGAGCCTGCCCAGGAATGTGGGTCCCTCCGAGGTGTGTGTGTTTCCCAGGAGCAAAGGAAGAGTTCTTTTCCCCAAAAAAGTCTCTTTAAGTCCCCATTGAGAAATGCCTGGATGTCTTAGAGCAACAGTAAAAATGCCAGCCCCTCCTTACATACCCTTTCCCAGAGACACAAGGATGCTCAGTTAATAGCTCCAGGTTTGGGGATTCTGGTGGGAACGTGTGTCTGAGGGTCCATAGCCTCAGGGTTACAGCTGACAACAGGCCTGGCAGCTTGGCTCCTCAGCGCCCTCCCCAGAGTGGGCAGTGGGGAGGGCGGCCGATTTAGCTGTGGCCTGGCGCACTGAGCGGAGTGTCAGACACGGCGCGGCAGGAAAAGGCTGCAGCCTGTGTTGCCATGGATATACGGAGGCGCGATCAGATGCTGTTATTTTTAGCCCTGCAGTGCCAATTTATTGGTGGCATCCTGGGGACACGCGGGAAAGGCAGGAGGGCTTGGGAGCCTGGGTTCTGCCTGGGGCAGGTGATGTCTGAGTGCTCTGGGCTCTGGGCAGATTGAGTAGACCCGGTCGGTGCCTCTGCAGCCAGCGCCTCTCTCAGGAGAGGAGAAGAACGACTTGGCAGGAACTGAGCAATGGGGACAGTGGAGGGGTGCTGGGGAGGCATCCAGCTGGGCTTGTTTTTCCAGAAAAGGGGGAGAATCGATGGTTTTCCATGAGTTGTTTCCTAGGTTGAGATAAAGTCACTTCGGTTCGTTTCCAGAACTTGGCTCAAACCCTGCTTTCAGATCAGGACCCTAAAGCCTCACACAAGGGCCTGTGACCTCTGACCTCTTTTTCTTGGCCAGGATAAAAATTTATCACCTAGTCATTCCTCAGCTGGGATTCTTTTGAAGGTATTGGAAAGGAGGAGGTTGTCCACAAACTTACAGGCTTGCCTTTGCCTCCACGGACAGACAGAACGCTACATTAGGGGCAACAATGCCTAGAGTCAGTGACTACCCCTTTGGGGACAATGCCTGGTACCAAGATGCCTTAGCTCTTTCCCCTCCTTCCCGTTCCCCCCTCACATTGTGGTGTTTGCATGAGACCCTTACCATTGACAGTCAAGGTCACCTCTCTCTCCCCGGCTCCTACCCGGGGCACCACAGCCCGGCACACGTACTTCCCGGCATCCTCCTGACGGACAGATTTGAGGGTCAGGGTCTTCTCATTGCTCAGGACCTAGGAGGAGGGGAAGGGTCAAACACAAAGAGTAAGGGAAGGCTGCCTCTGCCTGGGGTCGCTGGCTGACACAGAGGCCAGAGTCTCTGCAAACACCAAGGTGACGTGCAGTTAGGAGGCAGATGGTACCATTTAGACTTTGGAGAGGAAACTCCCATCCCCCCACACATGGACACTCCCTTCCAGATGCAGACCTGTGGGTATAATGCATGGTGGTACTAGGAGAATGAGACTCCCTAACCGAGGACCCATGGCTTCTTCATACCGAGAGATGGATGCTACTCTCCTGTGACCTCCCAGCTGCCCGTGGGTAAGATTACCCTACAACTGAATGTGGAGGGTTCTTGGATTCCGGTTTTCAGAGTCATGCTTACTATCCCCGTGGGAGACAGCTGGGGAAGATGCTATGACCGCAGTCTTAGACACAAGCTATCCCTGGCTCCAGCCCTGGAGGCCTGCATGGTACAGGTCAGTTACTATCTCAGAGGCTCATCCATATAATGGGGGCAGTGACCCCACCCGGAACAGTGCTGCAACTCGGAGAACATAATAGGCTACCCAAAGGTTGGCTCCCTCTGCCATCCCTAAAGCATTGTGCTAAGGCTAAGGGTAAATTTATCTAGGGTAAGTTTGGAAGTTTTTCTAGTGCCTGGGCAGAGAGTGCTCAGAGTGATATGGGTACAGTTAGGCCCTCTTTCTGGGACCCCTTTAACTTATTATAGAGATTGACTCTCCCCAAAGTCTCCTGCTTGCTTCCCTATCTGCTCCCCTCTTCCCAGTTTCTGTCATAGAACCCAGAAGTCTGTCTGGCCTGAGGACTCACCACACCAGAACCCCGTTTCATCCACACGATGGTGAGAGACGGGTTGCCGATCCATGCACAGCTGAAGACGGCATCTGAGCCTAGGTCTACGAGCAGGGACTGCGGCTCTGAGGTCATCCGGGGACCAACTGCGGTGGGGAGAGAAGAGGAGATGGGCTCAGGAGGGCTGGGAGCTCTGGGGAGACTTCTTTCTCCCTTCTCCTTTTCACCCGCCCCAGCTGGAAGGAGGGAGGCACTGGGTTCGCCACCTCTGTTTCAATTCTCTGACGCGGTATGGGAGCGGACTCCGGAAGTGAGGATGAGATCCCCCCCCCCCTTCTCCAGGCTCAACTTTTCTCAGGCCCACAGAGTAGGCAGTACCAGCCACAGGATGAATGCACTTAGGCCAATTTCTGCCTTAGTTTACCTCTCAGCTTCTTCTTTTTTGTCCCTGTCCTGTTTGGTTGCAGAAAGTAGAGGGAATCTCCTGCTTCAGAATCCTGGGCTTTGGGACCATGACTTGAAATGACGTGGCCTAACAGGAACCCTTCTAGAGTGCGTTCCATCCTGTACTTTTTCAGGGTGTCTTCTATCCGAGACACCACAGACACCCTTCTTATCCTTCTAGAAGTAGACTAGCTCCTGGCCCCATTTCTGACACCTCCACTGAGTACGTGCAAGTCCTTCTCTGCCCTGTTACAGCACACTGGCCTCTAGACCAAGCCTTGTTTCATACAGTGGCTAGGGTATCTGGAGAGCTGCCCAGGAAGGCCTTGGGGGCACTTCTTTGAAGGGATAAAGCTAGAACTCTAGAATTGGGAGATAGAGACTCGCTTCTTCAAGATGTAACAGATAAGAGAACACAACTGCTGAGTCTTTGTGGGACGAAAGAGTTGGGTCATATCAAGTTTGTGAAAGTGCTTTTAAAACTAAAGGGCATATGTGAGCTGGCCACATGTGCTGTTGTGATGGTGGCTCAGGCTGGCCTCCAACTTGAGGCCATCTTCCTGCCTTAGCCATTCGAGGGCTTGGATCGCAGGCGTGTGCCACCACTCTGGTTTTCGTAACTGCTTCTGAATGCACCCCACTAACTAGGTTGCCTCATCTGTTGGGCCACTGGTGAGAAGAGGGGGCTATGAGTCCCCTTGGTGGGACGGTGGCGTGTGTGTGCACAGGTAATGGATTTTTGCCATTGTTTGGTCTCAGTTAAGTCGTAAGTCACCCTACCACTTCGTCACTGTGTGCGCTTGAGTGTCCATCTCCCTCATTTTGAAAATAGGAATAATAAGATATAAGCATGGACTGTATGTTTGTGTCTCCCTCAGAATTATATCCCAGGGTGGATTATTAGGAGGTGATTGGGATACAAGGGTGCTCTAACAGTCATGCTGGCCCTCGATTCTTGCTGGTCAGGTCCCCCAGTCCATGGTGACTCGTCACTGCGCTCTGGGCTGCTGGGGCAGTCAAAGATCTAAGTGGGAATGGTAGCAGGGGAAGCTGTAAGCACAAAATGTGGTACCCTAGACTGTGGGTGATGAGTCTCAGTGAGATACCACCCACTGTCAGGGTCTTCTGAGTCCCCACACTCACAGTAGACGTCCACTGTGCGGCTGAGATTGGTGCTGCCCAGGGCATTGGTCACTTCACAGGACACAGGTTCGGAGAAGTATGTGTAGTCCACAGTGGTCCTGTACAGCTCCCCAGATGCTTCTTTGATGATTTGACCCCGTTTGGCCCACCTGCAATGGAGGCCAGAGGTCGATGGGGGCATCCTTTGGGAAGCTAGACATATCTATCCTTCAAGGAAACAAGGAGGGATGATCTTGTACCCACAACGTGGTTATGCAGGTGATTGGCTCTGAACTGTGGTCACCACGCAGTCGGAGGCACTTGACAAGTAAGTCACACTGGAGGTGGCAGAGTTACCTGGCTGATCACTCCATGGTATCCAGGCCATTAGCTAATCCAGCTCTTGTGACCAGACAGCCTGGCCATACTCTATTCTGGTCCCTTTCCTGGATCTTGTAAGGAAAGGCGGGAGGCTGAGTGCACGGTATCTGAGGTGAGGGCTAATGGTGCATGCCCTATATATACACGTACATTACACACATGAGTGTGTGCATCTCCCTGTACACAGAAGTTTGGTTTCCAGCAAGAAGACGTAGGACGGGGTTACTGAACCTCTTGCATTATGCTCTTACTCACCTCTGACCCATCTCCTGCCCCTGTGCAGGTCCCTCATTGTGCCCGTCTTCTTGGAAATCTTTTCAGCCTCCCTCCTAGGGTAGGGACTTGATTTTACTGTTAACTCTGTCCTTCCACCCTGGCTTTGTTCCTTTGAGGCCACAGACCCATTAGCCCAGGTTGGGTGGGGATCAATGGGTAGAAAAATTCTCCTATGAGCTGATCAGTACCATACTGACAGGAAGAAACTGTGAAGGCTCAGGCTTCATGGTTGGTCTTAGTCCTGGAGTAGTGATCACCATATTAAAGAGGTCACAGATGACCATCATGTACATATGCGTGTGTGTACACGTGCAAAAACACGTATAATGTATGCACATATGCTCATGAGGGTTTCCATGTGTGGTGTGCAAGTGTGAGTATATGCATGCATGCCTATATTTACATATGTGTACACGAGAATTCGTGTGCAAGTGAATATGTGCAAGTACATGTACGTATAAATGTACATGAAGTTTGTTTGCATGCAAGTTTGAATATGTGCATGTATATATGTGTGCATCTGTAAGCGTGAGAATGTGTGTGTGTGCACACAAAGGTTTGCCTGTGTGTACTTGTGAGTATGTGCTTGTGTGCTTGTGTAAATAAGGGAGTTTCATGAATATAAATGTGGATATGTGTTTTTGTGTCCATATAAGGGATTTACATGTGTGTAGGTATATGTGCATCGTGTACACATATGCAGATGAGTGCAGGTAAGTAAATGTCTATGAATATTTACATATGTGTATATATGCGCATGTGAGAATATAAATGTGTGCAAGTGTGTGTGTATGTCTATGTGCATGTGTTTGTGTATGTGAATGTGAAGATTTGTATGTGTGCAGGTGTATGTGCATGTGTGTATGTGTGTCTATGAGGGTTTACATGCGTGAGTATGAATGTATATGTGTGTGTGTGTGTGTGTGTGTTTGTGTAGATGTAGATTATAGATCCCTAAAGGGAAAGCATTTACAGCTTTTTGGTTTAAACTTATTGTACACAACATTCACTCTTTGAAAACATGAAACTTCTAACCAGGCTCCTGGGACTCTGCAGCCGGTCTTGGGGTGTTTCCAGAGCTCCAGAGCCTCTGGGCTCCGCTGCTGTTGGATGTACTTGCCCCTCCTCGTGACCACTGCTGCTCCTCTTCCCTTCCTTCTGCTGCTCCCGGCCCTTTCTTAGTGATACTGATCCTATCTCCTCCCTCTCTCCACTGGTTCTCGGCCCAGTGTGTCCTGTCTAGCCCCTAGAGAGATGGCTACTTCTCCACATCCCAAGGAACACCTAGACTGGCGCCGTGTGGTTGTTATCGCGAATTAATATCGAGTAACTATTAAAGAACACAATTAATAATAACAATTACAGTTTAACAACAGAGCAAACCATAGCTCCCTGAGAGCTTAAGGAGCTTCCCAGCAAACCATTATGAGTTATTCATGAGCCGTTTCAATTCCTAACTTTAATTTAATGACCAGACTTAATAGTCAGGCACGGCCCCTGCCTGAGGTGGATTACTTCCATTCCAGACACACAGCTGGGGACCAGTGTCCGGCCTCTACTCCTTCCTCCCTGCTGGAGGGAGGGCTTCTAAGTGGTGGGGACTCTGGTGAGGAGCTGATTGCTGAGGGGGTGGGGTAAGGAGAGGCCCAGGTAAGCTTTCTCTGCACTTGATACTCACAGCATATAGCTGGGGCTGGGCCTGTGTCTGTGCCCAGGGGTATCAGTTCAGACAGGCAGGCTGTGTTTCTTTGGGGGATCCTGGAGAAAATGGAATCTTCTTCCCTCTCTTTCTGGGGGAGGGGAGCTTAGGGAGGGCCACGCTCCCCAGGATCTGATTGTTGGAACTCCTGGGGTCCAATAGGCTTGGAACCCAGCACTCCAAGACCTGTGGCTGCACCTTGCATGCCAGGTGGGCATTTCTTTACACCCAAAGGAACCAGAGAGAAGGAGAAGGATTAGGAAAGGCTGGTCATGGGAAGTTTTCCACTTTAGGTGAAATCTGAGTCGAGTCTCCAAAGGAGAGACGACAGGAAGGACGGTCTGAATCTCCTGTTTCAGGGTCATGGTAGAAGGAGGGAGTTGTCTACAGGACTGGATTTCAGGAGGCTGAACCCTGGGCTTTTTTGGAATGAGACTCCCTCCGAACTCACCTCTGCTCTTATCTTGACTATTCAGTCTTCCTCTCTCTTACTCCCTTTGCACATCAAACAGACCCCTGTAAGCCTTTCCAGAAGCACTCAGCCTGAGAATATCTCATTCCAGTACTGGACCACAGGGTTCCAGAACCAAAGAGCAGTTTCCTTCCTAACCCACATATCCCCTCACAGTCTGTGGCTCGGCCCACTCTGCCTGATCCCCACCAATGCATCTTCACATTCTCCCCCAGGCCCTCGCTGGACTGCTTTAGCTTAAGCCTTTTCAATCAATGTCTAATTTGGTCTGAACAAATGTAAGAGGATTAATTATTTATATCACAGAATCAAGAGGCCCAACATGTCACATCTGCAGGCTGGTGTGTCAAACAGCCCTGTATGCTTTATCTTGTATTGTGTTCTGTTATCCCGTATCTGCTGGAGACCTCCAGCGGATAAAGTCCAGAGCACCTCTTGTGTATAAGCCTGGTCCACTAACCCAGGCTCTGAGTCCCTGCAGACAGTGAAGAGGCAACGCCCATGCTCAGTCAGGGCCATCTCAGGGTAGGGTTGAGAGAGGGAACATGTTTAATTTCAGAGATTACAGCCTCTTAGGTGGATGGGGGCGGTGGGAGGAGAAACAATCATGATGAATGAATGGAAGAAGCAAAGATTCCTATAATCTTGTCAAAGTCACTTGGGGACAAAATATTAATGTACTTCTGTGATAGACTTGCTTAGGACATTTCCTCCTGGGTACAAGTGCTACATGAAAATGGAAGTGGGGGGCTGGCAAGACTTTGGTGGAGGGAAGGGGCGAAACAGGGGCTCCAAACCTCTTCTTGCCTCAACAGACCAAGCCAACCACCCCAGCCTTCCCACCACTTCCCGGGAGCCAGAGGGGCTCCCGAGGTCTTCTGAGTCTTAGAGCAAGCCCGAGCTGGTCCTGCTATGCTTTTAGAACCAGCGGTTAATCAGAAGGTCCTAAGAATTGGTAGCAAACAAGAACGGTGGTCACGTGCAGGGAGCCTAGCCACTCTGTGTCTCTTCTAACACCAGGAGCTCATGTGGGATTCAAATACGCTTCAGGGTAGGATAGGAAAGGAGGGAAGGAGTCCCACAGGACACACTGGTCCAGGGAAATTGCGTGCTCTCTCTGTGTTCATTTACTAACTTGTTAGCTTGAAGAAACTCCAGTTTCAAATTGAAAGAAGAGTTTTAATGTTCTCACTAGCTGTCATCTTTCATCACCTAGATTTGCTTGTTGTTCACGTTTGATCACGTGTTTCAGAATGACCTCCGGTGTAGGCTCACACTTCCTCCTTGTCCGTGCTGTTCCGTGTCCTTGAGATGGATGATCAGGTGAGTCATCCCTAGCAGCTGGGTACCTACTGAGGTCAGATGGTAGGTGGAGGCCATGCTGCCATGCTTGGTCCACAGATCACTGGGCCCTCGGGTCACAGGGAGTCTGGCAGTGACGTGGAAATGGGGGGTCGAGTGTTCCAGTCTCTAGGGCCCCATAGGCATCTGGGGGATTGCTGTGATGGACAGTGGACGGGCTGTCTGCCTGTCTGGTGGGGGATGCTTATGGATGAGAAGGGAGCTGGCATTTGAAGTGTCTCCTGGGTACAGGATACCTGTCTAGGGACCTTGAGCTGAGAGCTGGGGGCAGGCAGGAGAGAAACGCAGAGATGGCAGGTGCAGTTAGAAGCCCAGAGAAGGAACCATTTTTAGTTCCTTCTGCATATTCTGTCACTTCTGGGCAGTGCCAGATCGAGGCCAAACCAGTCTCTGGGACTGACTGGATCCCAGGATTCCTGGGAGTGGGAGGTTCTTCACCTTCGGGGTGGGCATCAGAGGCTGTCTGATCTTCTTGCTTCCAATGCAGCAAGGGTTAACTCAGGAGGGATGGATAGAGAGACTGTGGGCCTCCCTGACTTTTGGCCCCACTGCTGCTCTATTATCCACACCACAGGGAGCCAGAGCAGTTCACTATGTCCACCCTGAGCCTGCTGTGGCATCTTCTGTGGTCCATTGCCCTTTCTTCCACCTGCTGGGACCGCTCGGCCTCATGCCTCATGTCTTCCCTCTCCTCCACATCCCTAGTCATTGCTTTCCTAGTCTGGGGCCATTAGCATTCCTGCCACTTGCAGAAGTGGCAGCTTAATAGCTCGTATCCACAGTGGAGGTGATGCCCTGGGCTCTGCCATCAAGCCTGGGCTGCTGGGAAGTGAGGGTCATTGGAAGTTCTGCAAAACATCTAAAGGAGCGAGCATCCCACACCTGCACTTGGATACCTGTGAGGTCGCTTAGTTTCTGGAATGCTGTGTGATGATGTGCACAGACAGAAAGCTGCCCAGAGCGGCAGCTCCGAAGGCGTATTTGATCAGTCAGATGCATGGAAGGAATGTCTAGTTTATGCCATGCGATACACTGCATGCTGAGAGCCATAAGTGACTAAATTGCAGTTCCTGCCTCTGAGAAACTCGGTCAGAAGGCGGAGACAAACTTGGGAGAAACAGTGATGCCTTTATTAGTGTTGTGGATGAGGACGTGGGGCGGGGTGGTGGCTCTGCAGGATCCCAGGTGCCCTTTGAGCTCTGGCCAGGTATCCAGTGCTAAGTACACTAACTTACCCATTCTGCTAGTGGTTTCAACATTTATCTGAGCTTTGCTCTGTCATTTCAGAAGTATGGAATAAACAAGCCATTGAAACAGGAGAGGCACCCCTGGTTTCCTGGCAGAGGGAGTGCAGGGAGCTTGAAGGAAACGGAGGGTCTGCTTGGCTTGTGGGTGGGGCTGGAGTGGGGGAGGGGCAAAGAAGTCTGTTTGGAAACCTGCTGCGAAGCACATCCTGTGGACACGTGTGACATGCCACGTGACAGGCACGGGGTGGAGAAGCCTTAGACCAAGCTGTCTTCACAGCAGCGAAGCTCACCTGTATTGGGTGACAGCTGGGTTGGCCTTTGCAGAGCAGTGGAACGTGACGATGTTGTCCTCCAGCACCGGCTGTGGTTCTACCGACAAGTTGACAAGGGGGGGATCTGTAGGCAGAAGAGAGTCGCATACAAACTGGGGATGGAACAGGGCAGGAAGGCATGGGAGATCAAAGCCAGGGTTCCTCCCACCCAGGAACCATCGCGATGGGTCCCCAGAGTCTGGGAGTGAGTGCTTCAGGTAGCCCTGGGTGCTGGGTGCACTCTCTCTGTGACTCAAGGTCTGAAGGGAAGTGAACATAGGTCTCTGGCGCACCGATTTCCCAGGCCTCAGGTGTGTGCAGCCTAGCTTCCAATCGAATCCACTCGAGGGGAGTGGTGGGAAGGGACGCTCAGGCCTCAGTATAAGCCTTCTGTCTGTGAAATGTCTGTTTATTATCTCCACGTAAAGGTTGTGGGGCCCCAGGTAACTTGAAAGTGACATCTACACCCTTTCACCACACAATCATCTCTACTGAGTCCTGACTGGTATCACCAGGCCCTCAGCATCCTGTGTGGGGGGCCGCTCATTTTCTCCTCTGACAAGATAGGAAGCCACACTCTGAAGTGCTAAGTGATCTGAGGTGAAGGAGACAGAAACTGGGAGATGGGGAGCCACAGAAAGAGTAAATGGAAGGGTTTGGGGTGGGCGTGGCAAAGCATATAACATAAAGGACAGAAATGAGGACCACAGGGAGAGACAGAGAACCCAGAGAAGCAGAGACAGGTGCAGACAGGAGGAAGGGAGAGAGAGGCAGGCAGAGACATGGAAAGGCATGCAAACATGCCCACTGAGGATTGCAGAAGGGTAAGAAGAGGAGAAACCTAGAGGTGAGGGTGGGGGAGGGATAAAGAGTGAGATGGAGCTGTGCGTACCCAGACAAGATGCTAAAAGGAAAGCAGGATGGGAGCCTAGCACACAGGAAACGATAGGGCACTGCACTGGGGAGACAGAGAACGCAAAACACTAAAGACCGCAGGAAAAGGGATGGGAGGGAGACAGGAGAGAGGGAGACAGGGGGGAGAGAGAGAGAGAGAGAGAGGACAGATAGAGAGAAGACAGATAGACAGATACACACAGACACACACACACAAGCAGACACACAGACAGACACATAGAGAGTTACATACACATGTACACAAGACAGATAGACAGGCAGGCAGATAGTTAGACAGACAGACAGATAGATACACACAGACACACAGAAAGACAGACAGATATAGACAGACAGAGAGAGAACAGAAACATAGTCACACACACAGAGAAAGAGAGTATCCACTCTGGTACAGGAGCAGCTGGCCTGTGTACCTTTTTATCTGAATATCATGGTACTATAGCATGGAACTTAAGCCTCCTCCCATCCCCAGGGTCATGGGTTAATGACTTGGTCTTCAGAGACGTGTTATTGAGGGGGGATTGGGAGCTTTGGGGGGCGGAGGCAGTGGGAAGTCTAGGAGAGGTCTTGTGGGCTTCTAGTCTCCTCCTTTCCCCTTGTTCCCTGGCCCTCAAGTGAGCGCTTCTGCTAGAGCACACACTCCATCCAGGATGTGCTCTCTTTACCACCCCCTCCCCACCCCGTCCAAAGCAACAGGGCTCTGATTATGAAGTGGCCTATCCCAAATTGTGAACTGAAATGAACCTTTTTACCCCTTTACTGTTGTCTCATCTGTTTGCTATAATGGTGGGAAGCTGAGTAATACAGTTAGCTATTTCGTCCACCTCAATTTTGATTTTCAAAGCGAGATTCAAAGGCTTGCTATGGCAAGGGATTACCATGAGGTCTCTCTTTCCACTTAGGGTTATTTATCTCCCCCTGCAAGTCCTGTAGCATCTTCCCAGTGGTTTCCCAGTGGCTTCCGAGGTAAGGCTGACTCAGGAATCCCATGGTCCTATGCAGAGCGGGCAGGCCAACTGGCCATGCCTCCTGGTAAAAAAGTTTGGCCAGAGGAGTTTGCTGGCTGCTGTCAGGACTGCTGTGCAGTGCTAGCCTCCAATTAGGAAATCGAGTCCTGGTGAGCGATAAATGATCTCAGTCTAACTCTTGTTTGAGATGATGGCATCTATTCAAAAATCTCTAGAAACCCTTCACGGAGCTCAGGGGCATCCTTCCAAAGGCTCATCCTTCACCTGGTGTCCTTTACAAAGTGATGAGCCCGTGGGAAGCGAGAAGATGGAGAGTGTACCCGCTGGAGGGCTCTTCTCGGGTCCTCACTTGCTGGACACTCAGTTACACCCTGTTATCAGTTCACTCTGCAGATGCCTCTTCTGCTTCTTCCCTTACTCTTTGGGGGCACCCTCGGTCCCTAAGGCCTTGGAAGAAAAGACCCAGGAGGTTCTACTCCACTCAGTTTCACTTCCGCCTCTACCCCTAGATCCAGGGATACCATGTCTCTGTTTCCACCCCTCTCCTCGGGATGTGCATGACACGCATTTCTAGGAGTCTGCCAAATTTCAGAGGTATAAATAGTTTATGTCATACCCAACTATTAAACATGATTTTAATCCCACTTGAGATGTTGGATGCATAACTTGCAGGAGGGTGGAACTGAGATCACACTGAACAGATGTTACAGCTGAGAGTCTGTTAGTGTTTCCATCAGCAACCTGTGTGTGTGTGTGTGCGTGTGTGTGTACATGCACATGTGCATTTTCAGAGAAAGTTGTGGGGGGGCAGAGAGAAACTTCATGACTCAGTGATTTTAGAGCACATCGTTTGAAACTTGGCAGCTGGACAGAGTCCAGATGTGGTGAGGCTTTGGGGGTGTTGCGTTTTCTCTCCCATTACTCAATCTGGGGGCTTTGTCTTCCGTTGGGTAACATATAAAGACCAAGGGAAACAAACAACAAATGTGCTTTTGCTGAGTTTGGAGACTTCGTGGTTGACTGAGAAAATGAGCAGGTTTGCAAAGGCGGCTCAGATCCAGCCTGTGGTGTCCACTGCAAACAGTGGGATGCTCACTGAATGAGCAAGTGGATCTGAGGAGAAGGAAGGAGAGGCGGGGGAGGAGGAGGGAGGCATGAAGAAGGGCTGGGCTTTTTCTTGTTAGGTATATATAAATACCTCCCAGCTAGAGTCAAATGGATGGGTCTGATGACATCTGGGGAAGGCCCACCACACACCTGTCACTGTGGATTTCAACCACAGCCTGTACTTTCATCAGAATGTGCTGCATGCGGGGCTAGGGGTTGCATGAATGATGTCATTGAACTGCGACAGTAAGAGGCAGGTAGATGTGATCCTCTTCATGCATTGATGAAGAAACCGAGGCCCAAACCAATTCACTAACGAGGCCAATCAGTACTGGCAAAGCCTGAACTCAAACCAGGGAGAATATTGGACCCCAATTGCTGTTCTGTACAGGAAGCCTGATGCCTGGATCTAAGATTCATGCTGGCCTCATTCCTGCATCATTTCAGGTACAAGCCAGTTAACCAGGTAGCCAGGCCAGCCAGCCCTCTGTCTGGAGTGTGTATGGAGGAAGGATGTATTTGAATGTACATGGGATGCTATTATGATGATTTTTTTTTGAGACAAAGTTTCTCTGTGTAGCCCTGGCTGCTCTGGAACTCACTTTGTAGACCAGACTGGTTTCAGACTCATAAATCCACTTGCCTCTGTCTCCAAAGTGCTAGGATAAAAGGTGTGCACCACCATCTACTGGCCTACGATGACAGCCTTGTCACTAGCTTCTCATGGAGCAGTGGACAGTGGTCTAGAGTAGAAATGTTGCTTCTCCTTGCTTCTGTCTAGGGGAGCCAATTGTGTTTACGTGGGACTCTGTAGCTGGCACAGCCTCCTGCCTGGGTGCAGCTATGGAACAGGAAAGGAAGGCCAAAGTGTCACAAATGGCAGGCAGGAAGCAAGGGATTTAGACACTCATTGTCTCCCACCCTCAGTTCCCCCAGATTTGGTTTGTGTGTGTGAGAGAGAGCTCTCAGCTTTGATTGCTCCTAGAATAGGAAGAGACCTTGGATGGCATCAGCAAGTCAGACAAGAAACTGGAATTATCAGAGTGAAGTGACAAGTTTAGAGCCCCCTAGCTCACGGTGATGGATCTGGTCTGGATGTTGGCCCGCATGCTGAGCCAGTTCCATGGTGACAGATCTGGTCTGGATGCTGGACCACATGCCGAGCCAGTTCCATGGTGACAGATCTGGTCTGGATGCTGGACCACATGCCGAGCTAGTTCATGGTGACAGATCCTTCTGGATGCTGGACCACATGCCGAGCTAGTGTCTTACCTTTTCTCTAGAGCTGGACTTTGCTCTAGCCACAGCTGTTCACCTGTTGGCTGGGTGGTGCTAAGACCCAGGGTGGGATCAGGGCCAGGGGACAAGGAGCATTGCCTTAGGTCTTTCTCTCCTGCTTCTTTGAGCTCCCTAGCCCTGGGCTTGGTAAGAACTCTCTGCTCCCACTGTCTCTGAGCGCAGAAGGGTGGGGCTGGGGGTTTGCTCATAGAAAATGACAGCATAGTGGAAAGTAGAGCCTCCCCCAGACCGCTGCTGTTTTGGTGGGATGTTCGGATCCTACCCACTACTCAACAAATATCTCTTCTTCCCTCTGTACTTTAAAGGTTGTCACTTAGGATTTGTGTCACCAAGAGGGAACTTCTGCCCTCTGGCTGTGAAAGCGGACTCTGAGAGCCCTAAGACACAGTTCCCGTGGTCCCCATAACTCTAGAGAGCAGAGCACATGGAAGCCCCAAAATTCGTCAAGGCTGTGAGAAAGCGTTGTTAAATCCACCAGCTTTAGGGGACTGGAGAGATGGCTCAGTAGTTAGAAACCACTTGCTGTGCCATCACAAGGATGAACTTCTGGATCCTAGCACCACAGAGCAGGTGGGCATCCCACATCCATGTTTAACCCCAGCTTCAAGGGGGACAGAGAACTGAGGATGGTTGGAGCTAATACGCTCCATTAGGCTGCCATAGGAAACATAAGACCCAGGTTCAGGGAGAGAAGTTGCCTCAAAGGAATAGGCCACGTTGGTAGAGAAGAACCCCTACTGCCTTCTTCTGGCCTCTGTGCACCTGCACGCACACACACACACACACACACACACACACACACACACACGTTCACATGGGGTGGCTCCAACCCCGAGCCTGGCCAGGCTGGACAGAGTCTGTCGGTACTCACGCTGGATGTCTATGGTGACTGAGGTCTCCTTTCCTCCAGGGATGGCTTTGTTGGTGGCTCGACACACAATACTCTGCCCATTTTCTACGTCTCCCGGGGAAATGAAGAGGGTGCTGACAATGCTCTCACGTTTGCCATCGCGAAGCAGAGTCTGGGGAGAGAGGTGGTGAAGGAATAGAAGGTCTCGTGTTACTGAACTGAGATGGCCCGGGAGGGAAAGACAGACCTCTGGTCAGAGAACAGAGAGCTGTGGATGGCGAGTGTTGGTAGGAACTCCTGGGGGAGTTCCCTTACAGTCTTGACCTGGTTGAATGCTGGATGGTGGAAGAAAAAAAAAAGGAACTAGAGAGATTGCCATGCTGTGTGAAAAACAGCCCATACTTGCTAGTCAAAAGCTCAGCAGAAACCAGGCTTAGCTGAATGAAAACCAGACCTTGGGTAGGTGGGTGCTCCTTAGAACTTAACTGGTTTCTGCGTTCTACCCCTGATGTTGGCGACTCTGGATCCATAGCAAGCAAGGGGAGGGGTTGCAGTAGACAGAGAGGAGTTGAGAGCAGGCTCAGCTAGGGGCATCAGCAGTCAGTGTGCACCTACCTGCCTTTGATTACCTCCCCATGTAAGCCTTGCACCTTCCCAAATCATTGCACTTCCTGATCTCATTAAATCTCCTCCACACCACAGCATGGGTGATGCCAGCGCTTTCCGTCTGACAAGGAGGACACAGGCAAGGCTCATCCAGGCAGCAAAACTACCAAACTCCTGCTCAAGTGGTAGTGGTCGAAGGAGCACTGGGGTTCTGCAGTGGGTGGACCTTTCTCTCTGACATTTGTGTCTACCCTGTTGTAGAAGGGGGATTCATTTGCTGATTAGTCCGTTAAGGAATTTGAGATGAGGCCATCCTGGGTACAGGAAAAGACACAACTTAGGCAGCCTTTGTTATGATGAAGACAGAGGTTAGGATGCTCCCTCTGCAAACCAAGGAATGCTGGGAGCTGCCAGGAAAGACCAGGAAGGCCTCTGCACCCCTGAAGTAGCACAGCCTGGTTGGCAGCTTGGCTTCAGACCTGTTAGCCTCGGCAACAGGGCAGTAAGCACCAAGTTGTGGTGCCACACTACGGCTGCACCAAGACGTGAGTATAAGCCATGGGTCTTTGCTCTGTCTTCTTGGAGCCTCGTGCTATCCCGTAACTGGTTCCTCCCCTATGGCTGCCACCCCCTTCACTCTTCTGTCCCTCTTTCCAGAGACTTCCCCATCACTTTGGAACCCATTAAGATAGGCAGGCACACAGAGGGACAAAGAATGCAGGCGGAGTGGCCACAGCGGGTGGCACTGGAGTCTGTTCAGCTTAAAGATGTCCCCTCTAGGAAGGAACTTTATATCCTACAGAGAAGGCTGCAACCTTGTTTTACCTGGATAGGAGCCAAGGAGTAGGTGGCTCTACTTACAGAACAGCTCTCCTAAAACAACAATGGCTGTTTTATTTCTCGTTGTCAGATTTGTTGAAAGGAAGAAACATCATCTGTATTTTGCAAGTCAATGCTGAGTTCAAAGTGAACTGCTGGGCGGAATAGGGACTCACACTTAAGAGTAGGTACCCCGAGGACGGACTCTGGTGTTCCTGACCTGGGTCTTACAGATGGCAACACAGTGATCGAGTCCCACAAAGGCCAGTGACTGAACAAGTTGACAGCAGCTCACAGCTGCGGTCATCTTCTATATCCTCAGCTCAGCGTGGCCCTTCTTAACGTGGGGCCAAGTTTGTGGCCTCTGGGATGTATAGAGCCTGGTGTGAGCCTCTGAGTAAGTGATTTCTACTGTAGGTCAAGACAGTCTATAGCAGAAGAACAGAAGAGCGGCCTTGCACTTTATCCTGTAATTTTACAGCTGGCCAGATGTAGGCTCTGGGGCTTGAAACCTTCTAGTACTTTCTGTCCTGGCAGGAGGGGTGTTGGTCTTAACTATGTGCAGAGGGGCTAGTGAGAGGGGTGTGGCCTGATCCAGGGGTCCAAGGGCCAGTCTTAGTAGCCCATGGTCTGCAGGTCAGCTTCTGGGCCAGAGGCACAAATGGCAGTCCCAGAACAGGGGTAGATGGGGGTGTATTTTAGCCCCAATCCAAAGCCAGTGTGTGGAGGGAGCTACAGCCTGCGCCCTATTACCACATTGGCTTGGGGCTGCTCAGCAGACCTCGTCACCTCTATAAATAGCTAAGCGATAATAAGAACAATTTCCTGGATGAAAATAAGACCTCCGGGTAGAATGGGGGGAGGAGGGGAGGGAAGGGGAGGAGATAGGGTGTGTATTGTTCCTCTATATCCTTTCCTTTTCTGAGGTGCTAACGAGGGACATTTACATAAGTTTGACTGAGCCAAGCACCCCTCCAAGGGCTGGGCCCAGGACTTGGTGGTGGGAGTGGGGCTCGAGGGTGGGGGTGGGAGAGAGCAGGGAGGCCTAGCTCTAATTAGGCCTTCTGACTGCTTTTCCTCCTCCCTAGCCCAGCGTGTTCCTCCGCCTCGGAATGATGATTAATGACATATTTACTGTGTCCAGGCGGGTGCTTTTCTGGGAAATAAAAATTCTGGTTCAAGTTGTTTGTTCACCTAATTAGAGAAAAAGAGGAAGATGTGTTCATTAAACAAAAAGGAAAATGAGGGGAAGGCGAGTGTCCCAGTAGCGTACCCGGCCTTGGCCCCCAGTTCTCGAAAGAGCTCAGGGCCTGGGCAGCAGCCCCGGCGGAGAAGGGCTGTGTCTGTCGGCCCCTCAGACAGATCTGCTGACGCAGCCGTGGAATGACTATGGGGAGGGAAGCTGGAGACTCCAAGCCCAGAGGGATGCGAGGTGGCCATGGGCATACTTTGCGGGCTCCATAGGGGAGCCGTTCTTGGCAGAGCCCCTTTCTATGGCCTTTCCCTTTGCACTGTACCCTAAATCCCAAAGAATAATGAACCCAAATGATTAGGATGTTTCTTTAGCTTGATGGAACCCAGAACGTCTGGTGATCTTTGGATGTCTCCAGAATGGGCGCGGGTGACATATTCCTATTCTGGTCCTGGGCATCAGCTCTGGCAAAGTTAGTAAGTGGCTGTGAGGTTTACATGGTAGGAAACCAAGATGTATGTCTAAAGATCCAGGATGCCCATGCTGGCTTCAAGAGCAGAACCCTCAGAGCATAGCGGCTTTGCCTGTGGTCCCATCGTGTTTCCTTTCCGTCTCTAAAAGGGCCTTTCATGTACCGGTGCTTCTTAAGATGATACTCTGAAGATGACAGTCCCCTCATCTTTTCAGGGCTGACCCTTGATTAAGTGTGATTTCCTTCCCGTGGACGATCTTGAGTTTTGTGTTTGAATGGGGGAAGTAGACAGATGCAGGCATCCGAGTCCCCCTTGCCCACTGTTCCCCTTCCCGCATTCCCTTTTGAACTTCCTTCTTTTATCTTTTGCTTTGTTCCTCCTTTGTGAGTCTTCTCTATCACCTTTCTTATATGCAAATGAGGTCTTGAGACTTGGTGGACTTGAAGGTGTCATCCAAGTGGGACTGTCTATCATTTGCTGATTCTTATCAGAGACCGGCTTCCCAGCCTCTCTCACCCTGTGCCCCTCACCTCTCTCTCCTCCTCTTCTCCTCAGGGAGTCTGGCTCTGGGGTCACACCTCAGGCACTGAGGCTTCCACTAGCGTGCAAATCAGCTCTGGGGTTGGGGCTGGGGAAGGATTATACAGTGTCACTAGTTTCTTGACTCACCATTGGAGAGTGGTGGGCACTAATGAGGCATCAGACTCTGGACCCAGGCTTATTGACGAGACTTCGATGATAAACCCTGAACATCTACAGCGATGTTGGCATACCAATAGGGCCAGGACTGGGCATATATACAACATGTAGGCATTGTGAACTAAATTCCTGAAAGTCAGCGGTGTCTGCAGGGACTGATTGCATTTCAGTATGGTGGAGAGATTCTAGCCCTGTGTCAGAACTAATATCCTGGGACTAATAGATAAACTTTTCAGAATCTGTTAATTTAGCAGACCACTAGTTTCCAACCCAAAAGCTCAGATAACATCTTGGGCCTAGAGAGAAGTGTACCCATCTTACTGTGCCTACCTCTCTGATGCATCCACCGAAGTAATTTGCCTTCCTTTTAAACTTGCCTTCATTGGTGACTGTCATTATTCTGTTGAAACTATAAAAACTTCATGAAACTGATTTCCTGTTGGAGTTAAAAATCTGGGGTAACCGAAATCAATGTCCCTGGCCCATGGTTGCTCGAAATGGCTCCAAAATAAACCATCCCTTATTCCCTTTAAGGTGAAAGCTGTGGATCTTGCATAGACAGCGTCGTGTGGTTGGGAATGACTGCTTTGGATCATAGTTCTCCGAGAGTGGATTTCCACCTCTCTCCTGCGTGTGTGTGCCCACCTCTGTTTGTGGGTGTTCACAGGCTTCTGCCCAGTAACTGCGCCTAAGGAACTCTCTCATGGGCTTCACTGAGAATGCGAGGCTCCCGGTGCCCATCTGAACAGAACTGGCTCCAGTGCAATCTTCCTGTTTGTGCCCGCAACCTCACTGTTCCAGTCCTGAGGTCACCGAATTGGCATCTGGATTCTCAGCACTGGCCTGAGAGGCTGGGAACACTCTTGGGGCAGTTGCTAGGTGTAGGTGGCAGATCCTTCCGACCCTCTCAGGACCTCTGGTGAGAGGTAGAAAGCTGGGCTGAACCCTCAGAGATGGGCAGCCTGAAGGCAATGCAGTGTGTGGGTGCCCCAACTCTGGCGCTAAATATGGGCTGCTCATTGATATGCAAACAGCCTGGAGAGCCTTGAGCAGGCCTGATTGCCTGGCAACAAGGCCTTCTCTCTTTTCCCTCCCCACTCACCTCCCCCACCTGCTGTGTCTTTTTTTTTTTTAAATCATTTCTCTGTTTCCCCTTTTATAGACACTCGAGGGTCCATATAGGCCTGTTGTTATCTAGACTGAATAGGAATTACATACATGTATAATATAGGTCTGCACAGTGTCATTTGCCTGAGACCCTGCAAATAACCTCTGCCCTAGGGCTAGAAGAGATGCTTTCATTGAAAAGGTGAGTAGAGGTGGCTATCACATGACAGAATAGGGTGGAGACTCTGGGCCTCCAAATTTGACAGACTGAACGCAGTGTGATGGGGTGACTGGAGGAGACACTGTGTAGCAGGGAGAGTGAGGGCCTGGGGATGTGAGCCAGCACCCCTTTTCTGAGCAAACTCATTGGAACTCCTCTCAGCCCAGGCCCAGTGGAGACCAGGGGTGGCAGGTTGACAGCCCCTGGAGTAGGCAGGTGGCCTGAGAGTGGAGAAAACAAAGATGTGGGGATGGATGGCTGTGTCTCCTAAGACTACAGCATTTTCTCTGTGGCCTCACCACCCTCCCTGGGGATGTAGCAGAAGTGGAGAGAGCGCCCAGGAAAGGTTTCCCTTCCGGCCAAGCCCATACTTATCTTCCGTTTTTATCACCTGTTCCTCCCTCCCAGGGTTTGCAGATTGGCTGGAATTTCAGAAGCGTGCCCTGTGACATCCATTTTTGTATCAGGCCCAGAGAATCAGGAGGAACAAGGGAGAATCCCAGCTGTCCCCAGATTCCCTAGACCGTGTGTCCGTGAAGTGACGGGGGAGAGGCAGCCCACTCCCTCCCCCCTCTTCTTTCAGCAGATCTGGCAGGCAGCGGCATAATTGCAGCACAGCCAAGCGACTCAAGCTAGCACCGGCCCTCAGGGACAAGCTCTGCAGTGCATGCTAGGTAGACACGAGCAGCCTCACGCTCCAGCTGCCATGCCTTCCCCACAGGTATATCCTCCCCTACAGTTCGCTACCATAGGTAGTGAACGCTACCCTCAAACTCGGAGGCAGAATAAACCTTCCTTCTTTAAGTTGTTTTTGTCAGGCATTTTTGTCGCAACAATGAAAAATATCGCTAATACAGAGTCCTTCCTATCTTCCATCCTCCTTACAAGGAACTGTGAAAGAAATACATTTGCTGGGCATGGTGGTGTACACCTTGAATCCTAGCACTGGGAAGGCAGAGGCAAGCAGATCTCTCTAAGTTCAAGACCAGCTTGGTCTGCAAGGTAAGGGTCAGGCTGGTCACGGCTAAGTAGTGAGACCCTGTCTCAGAACAAAACAAAGTAAGCAATTTACATTCGTGTGTTTGTTTGTGTATTACGTGTACGTGCACACATGCCATACTGTGCACGTGGAGGTCAGAGGAAGACTTTAGGTAATCATTCTCTTCTTTTACCGTGTGGGTCCTTGAGTAGCCAGGCTTGACAGCAAATGCTTTTGCCTACCGAGCAGTCTCACCAGCCCTATAAGGAACTTTGGTATGTTTCTTTTGAGTCCTACAATAACCCTAACAAGTGGTCCCATTTTGCAGCTGGGGAAACTGAGGCAGAGCGATTAAGGCAACATTATGACGTGATGGGAGCCTGGCCTGCAGGACTCTGTGGCCTGCTGTTTGGACACTGCCACAGCATCTAGAACAGGCAGATGGCCAGGTGTGAGGACCCAGAGGACCGGTGATGGTCCCAACGGCTGTATTTAATGCAGGTTCAGTCTGCCAGGAAGGTTTCTTGGTTGTGTCTGCAGCCATCCCGAGACCCGAGTGCTAACAATGCCCTCAGCATACAGATGAGACAGACACGGACAGTTTAGATCCCATAGCTAGAGGGTGGTGGAGGCCGGACTCACATTTAGGTCACCCAGCGTCAGTGGCAAATGCTGAATGCCTTAGGTCCAAATGTGTCATGTCTGCTTCCTGGGGACTTTGCTGTGGACTATGTTTGAGTGGTTGTGGGTGTGTACTTGTGTATTCTCTGTCTCCCTCTGATGTTTCTGCCTTTGTAACTAGACCAGAAATACTGTTTGGCTGGTGGCAATCATCTTTGCAGTTCTGGAGAAGAAACGGCCTGGACTGAGTTCCTGGGAGGAGATGGGGTGGGGTGGGGGTCAGTTTCCGACAGCTCCTCAGCTTGGGCCTATGGCTCTTGTTGGAATGCTTGCTGTTGCACTGAGCTCCAATCCATGGGTTTACAGCCTGTGGCAGCTAGAACCCTTCCTGAGTGTCTCTCCTGGTGTTTTCATGTTCAGAGGAGGAAACTGAGCCCAGGACATAAGTTCCTTGGGGTTACAGAGAGCAGGGCCTGGCAGGGACTGGCATCTGGCCTGGTTGTCATTCCCTTTGTGGCAGTCAGAATAAGAGTGGAACTGGGCAAGGACGGGCACACAGTATCCTTTCCAGAAACGCAGTGTGTCAGGCTTGCTGAGGCACCCATTGTGTGGGCCTTCTGAGTAGGTTAGCCTGGAATCGGTCTCATAGAGTGACCTTGACCCCTGCCTTCAATAGTTGAGTCACATCCCCTTCTGTTCATATTTCCTGGGCGGGTCAGGCTGGCCCAGCTTCAGAGCCACAGTGGACAGACACCTCCTATGTAGGAACACCCTTCTCTTCCTTCCCAGCCTCCTCTGGATGACCTTGGCTCCGGGCTGTGTGTTTGCCTTTCCTGACGTCCTCACAGTGTGGCTCCACCCAGGATGTGAGCGGAGGACTTATCTCCCAAGAGAAAGCATTGTTCCTAGGGTGGATTCAGGTCTAAGAGAAACCATTTGTTTGGGGATCTGGCCCCAGGAACTGCGCAGTAAGCCAAACTTTGATCAGCCGCCGTTGGCAGTCTAGTAAGTTTGGGATGGGAAGGAACTGTCCTTAGAATAGAAAAGGCCTTTCTTTACATCCTCTGTGGATGGAAAAGTCGTTTCTTGTCTTTGTAGGGCCCATGGGGAGGAGCCAGCTGGACATCTGAACTAAAAAACAAACATGTGTCTTGACACCGTCTGAAACGGAGGACCCTGAGTCAGGGCCCTGAAAGATTACACTCCAACCTCAGAACCTGGAGGCTGCTTTGCCTGGTCCTCTGATTTAGCCTCTGGTGGTTTTCTTGGGATCCATAGAGATCTGAGCCTGTTCTGAGAGAGGCCAAGAAAGAAAGTCTAGGTGAAGGGACACCTTGGTTCTGATCCTGGTGCTCCTAGAACAGACAGTTCCCTTCAAAGTCTGTTTTCTGTCTTTAGACAGAAGAGTTTGGCCCTCCAAAGGTCTCCTTCATCTTGAAGGTTCTGCAAGATGTAAACCCCGCTTGGGCCTGCATAAAAGTCTCCTGGGGTAATGTGTGGCACTGGTTATTTCTGACCATATTCACAGACACTGAGGCCAACAGATGAGGGAGCCATGGCCATTGCAGAGATGGATTGCTATTCACAGTCCCCAAGAGGAGGGGCATAGCAAACCATGCCGTATTAGGCCACTGGGAGTGGAGGGTGTGTGTGTGTGTGATGAGCCTCTGCTGTGGGGAAAGGGATGGGAGGCAGGGTAGGGACCACACAGCTTTAGGGTTGGTTAGCTTGACTAGCATTAGTGGGCTCTGGGCTATAGAGGGATCTGCCATTTCTGATTCCTGGTTGTGGAGATACCACTCTAGACTACAGGAGGCAGAGAAAGGAGAGCATGGGGCTGTGGCCTCTAGATGGGTTAAAGAGTGAACAGTAAATTAACTCTTTCTGCGGACTGGTTAACCTGGGTCAGCTTCATATCCCAGGGTCTTTGAGACTGCAAGCTACCAAAACATTATAAAAGACAGAAAACAAAGTCAAAGAGTATCACAGGGGCTGGTTTCGGGTGCTACTGTGTGAGTTAGAGACAGTCCATAGGCAAGTACATCAGGGCCTGAGGCTTAGATTAGCCCTTCTGGGTCCCTGTTCCGGCATCTCAGTAGGCAGCTGTGGAAAGCAGGCCAGATTTTGCAAATTAAAACACAGGATGGCCTATTAACTTTGAACTTCAGATGAACAATGCATAATTTGTTAGCATGGGTACAGTCCATACAACACTTGGGAGAAATATACTAAAAAAATTAACTTACTATATTTTCTGAAAAAAAGTCTTTTTCAATTCAGACTTTTTAAACAACAATCAAACAAGCAAACAACTGTAAGCTGGACAGCAGCAGAACCACAGAGGTTCATTTCTCACAGTTCTGGAGGCTAGGAGGCCCAAGACAGGGCAGACTGATTGTGAATGGCAAGGACCAAACAACATTGTAAGTGGCCAACTTCTTACAATGTCCGCACATGGTGGAAAGGATAGAGTTCTTCTCTCTTGGGCCTCTTTTATAAGGTCACTAATTCCAATCATGAATGTACCTTCCTCATGACATAACCACCTTCCAAAGGTCCATTTCCACTCTCTTGGAGCTTACGGTTTCAACACAGGAGTTTCGGGTGTGGCACACAGTTATTCAAGGGAGCACATAATAGCTGTGGCAACTCTAGGTTAGGTTACTTCTGCCTCAAGTCTGCTCTTCTGACCGTATCTTGCTCTAGGGTTTTTACATATAATTATCCTAGTCGGGGTGGGGGTAAGACGAGGAGGTAGAAGCAGGGAGGCTAGTGGAAGAAACAGTCTGAGAACTAAAGTGACCAATAAAACAAACCAACAAAACAGAGAGAGTGAAACAACAGAGGCGCTTCCACACGGAGGAAGACAGAGCTGGTTCCCATGTTCCCCACCCCTCCACCCTTGCCTCCCTTTATCCTTTGTCCCACTACCCATCCACCATCCCCATTTCCTCCTCCCTGCTCACCTTGGAGTAGGTGGCCCCGTTGATGACCTCTCCTTTGAGCAGCCAGATGATGGAAGCTGCCGGCTTGGCATTGTCCGCATGGCAGGTCAGGTTGAGAGGGTCCCCCGCCCGAAGGCTGATCACAGGCCCCCCTAGGATGATGGGGTCATCTGGTGGCACTGTGGGGAGAGGAGCAGAGAGGTCAGATTGGGGTAGGTCTCTGCTTGGCGTGGCAGAGGATGATGAGCAAGAATTGTTATACTTTGATAAGAGTGTCGCCCTCTGTGTTACAGTGATGGTAACAGTAAAAAGGATGAGCTGTTCTTCGTCTTTCACGGCAGGAATAAGCATGTGTGAGCACAGGCGGTGTCCCTGGCTAGTCTCACAGACCTGGAAGAAGTTGTACTTTCAACTGAGATACCAGGGACCTGCAGGATCTTTATTTTCAACTTCAAAAAGTAAAGATTTATTTTTATTTCTTTTAAAAGATATTATTATTATTATTATCTTTTTCAAGACAGGGGTTTCTTTGTGTATCCCTAGCTGTCTTGGAACTTGCTCTGTAGACAAGGCTGGCCTCTAACTCACAGAGATCTGCCTGCCTCTGCCTCCCGAGTACTAGGATTAAAGGTGTGTGCCACCATTGCCTGGCCTAGGATCCTATTTTTTAGTTGTGTGTGTGCATGCACATGAATGGCAGTGTTCACAGAGGCCAGAGGCATTGGACTCCTTGGAGCTGGCGTGACAAGCAGTTGTGAGCTGCCTGATAGTTGTCTTGGGAACCAGACTTTGTTCTTACAAGTGCAGTACCTGCTTTTAATAATTGAGCCATTAATCCAGCCTCAACATTTTTTTTTGTCAAGCTTTGTTGCATCTCTCACAACAGTTTTGAAGGAAAAACACTATTTTTTTAAAATCACAATTACATAGACCTGGAAACTGAAGGTCACCACCAAGGGACTTATTCAAGGTCACATGGTGAAAGTATGGCAGAGTTGGGACTGGGAGCTGCACCTTTGACCCTTGATCAGCCTGGTCCCTTCCCTCAGGTGACAGGGAGGGTCTTTGGTCCTTTGGAGTTTCTACCCTGGCCTTTCCTGAGCTCTGTCCTTTATAGTAGCTCTTGAACCCCGATTCCCACTCAGAAGGAGTTACCCCCCCTTTTTTTTTCTACAATTAACAGTGTGGTTAGTGGCTGGTGGTCCCATATCCATAGTGCCAAAGGGAAACGAACATAGGATTGTCCCCTTCCCTGCAGGGCCAACACTGAACTTCAAGCCTTGAAGCATCTGCAGAGACACCTGCTGGCTCCAATGAACCATGTTTGATTACTGTGAAGGCCACACTGTAGGATGTACAGGTATGGAGGTAATCAATTATTATTTAAAAAGATGACCCTGGAAAGCCAGGAGTTGACTAAGGACACATGGCTGCCTCTGAGGCTGGTGCTTCTGGGCATATTTAAATTTCCCAGGCTCCTATTGTTCCATGGACAAGCCATGCAGGAGGTAGGGCTCCATGGAGACCATCTGAAGAGACTGTCCCCTAAGGAACCTCTATCTTTTCTGCCATCACCTGAGAGGGTCTATTACGTTAGCCCTAGAGGCTGGAAGGGGGCTCAGGGACTCACCTGACACACAGAGGTGAGAACTCTTCAAGTTCTCAGGAATGAAGGTCAGGTTGGTGGGCGTGTCCTCAGGATTTGGGGGACCTAGTGCAGAGGTCTTTTATGGGCTTTTAGGGAAAACATCCCTCCAACCTGACCCTGGGCAAACAAACGCCTATGCCTGTGGTTTGCAGTGGTTCCCAGCTACAGAACCTGCTTGCCTTCCTTCCTTCTGTCAGCTCCTGATTTAGTCCATTGGACTTCTCTAACAGACAAAGGGTCCCATGTTTGGCTAAGCCAGTACCCAAAGCAGCAAGCCTTTAAGTTGGTCACCTCACCTATCCCTGTATGGTCCCGATGGAAGGTTGGCTCATTTCTAACAGCCCTGAAGAACCATTTCCTGAGGAACCTCAACTTTGTAGGGCTACTGGAAATGGGACCACGTTTTTACCCAAACCAGCTCTGGATGTCAAGAAGATCCTGGCCCAGGGAGAAAGTTGGCCTTATCTAACCCTCCCACGCTATAGCTCTGAAGCCAGGCCTCTCCAGGAGGCCCTGGAGCTGCCAGGCTGGAGGAGGCATGGGGGTATGGGCTGGACACTGCAGATAACCACCGACCACTTGTGCCCACTATACCCTCTTATTAGTGCCTGTAGCCTCCTTGGGGTAGGCGTGGCCAGAGAGCAAAGGGGGGTTAATTAAGGCTTTCCATCAGTGGGGGTGTGACTAGTGACTGATGAAAAGGATTTCAGCTTCCTGTGGTGGGGCTGAGCTGGCCCCTCCAGCAGTGAGGGCTGGGACTTGAAGTATTCTGTGGAAATTTGGGTGCTCCTGTTCAGTTCTTGCATTCCCGTGTTGGACCTGGACTAGAACAACTGGTCCAGGAGCAGAAGGACCACCTAGCCCTTTGGTCATCCTCTGACTTGCAATGATGGGTCAAGAGACATGCATGGCAGAAGGTGTCCTGGTTCAGAGGATGACAGCAAGGCAGTATCCCTCAGGCAGAAAGTGTGAACACTCCCGCTAGTACTGACGCGTGTTGGAATAAGAAGGGGGAGGGCGGTTGGCCGGCAACCTTCTCGGACGGTTCATCAATCCTCTTGCCAGCATGCTCTCTGACCAATGAGACCCCAGAGCGAGGAGCTCGTCATCTAGGATGTGGGAGAGTAACCACGTTTGAGTAGTCTGAGCTTTTGGCTTCGGTGCCTAGAGCTGTTCTATATGCTGATCAAGGTGTGTGTGTGAGTGCGGGTCAGTGTGAGTGTGTGTGTGTGTGTGTGTGTGTCAGCGTATGAGTGTTCTTCCTAGAAACTCACACCACAGGCCCCTCCCCTCCCTTCTCTCTTGCTTCACCAGTGCTGTGTTTGAGGAGACTGTATTAGCAGGACTGGGGATGAGGGGAGCTGCGAGAGGGGGGGGGGGGGGGGGGGGGCTGTGTTGTGGGCCTTTCTCCGGCACGCACACACATTCACACACACAAACATCCACCCTCAGAATGGGTCCTGATTACATCTTCCCAAATAAGTGGTTAGCATGCTGCTTATCCATGTAGCCATGCATTATTGATTGGCCTCCGCCTCGCTGCACACCAGATGGGGGTGGGAGGGGTGGGTGGGGGCGGGGTGGGTGGGGTGGGGTGGATGAGGAGGGAGGACGGTTGGGGGCTATCGGCTGAATAGAAATTAACACTCGTTCTTGGCAGCTGTAGCTCAGATGGGAGGTGTGCGTTGTGTGTGGGGGGGAGTTACTCATTACCTCTCCATTCAGATGGAGGCCCATTGCTAGGGCCGTGCGGGGAGGGGGGAGGAAGTCTCTGAGAAGCCCAGGCCTGGAGATGCATTATTCATACATCCCCTCACAGGCTTGGTTATTATCCCGAGCCCTATAGAGTTTGGTCTCCTAATTTTTAATCACAAGGAAGGTGGAAGCGTTAGCCTTTTGGTGATTAATCTGGAGATAAAAATAGTTGACTGTTTTGATGTTGCTCTTCTTGTCAGTCAGGAACTGAATTTGCATGAAGTGTTTGTTGGGGGACTGAGGGCTGGTGAAGACCCGGTGGAGCCCAGGCAGTCCCTGGTTTTGACTCCGGGACTGGCCAGGGTGAACGTATCTTGCCCAGTTGGCTTGAACAGAGGGGAGTAGCAAACCCTCCTAATATGGGTCCCCACCACAGGGGTGGTAGCTCTCTGTAGTTGACCTTCCTGTCACCCAGGGTTTGGGGCAGCGCCTAGCATCTCTCTCCCTGCTGCGCCCTTTCTCTGGTACCTGTGCTGCAGTGGGCAGTATGGGGCACCCATCTCTCATTCTGTGTGGGCGGGGAGTCCCTGAAAAACCCACTCCGAACTTTGCTGTGGAGAACATGGGGGTCTCTTTAGAGGTTGGGGAGACACAACACAGTAAATTCTGCATCGACACAAGGACACTGAGGTGAGAAAGAAAGAGATTGGCCTGAAGTTATCAGGCAGGGAGGAAGAAGGGAAGGAAGTGGATTTATCCAGGGAGGTAAAGCTTTTAAATTTTTTGATAAATTAACCCCCCCCCCAATTCAACAGGATTCTACATCTAGAAGTTGCTGAGGAAACACCCCTGAGCCTCAAGTTCTCCTGCGATAGCCTTGAACTTGGAACTGGAGCTTGTGACCAGCTTTTCCCCCCCTTCTTTTGCAGTGCCAGTTTGATGGAGGACTGCCTGGGACTAGGGATGGAGGGCTGTTGCCCTTTCTGGAGTGTCCAGAATGTGCTTGATGTCCAGCGACTGAATGTACAGAGCTAAGTTCACTTGGCTCATTGGCCTTGACTTATCAGCTTGGCCACACCCTCTGAACAGCCCAGGTACAGTCGTGGGGTGACGCTGACGATGTTCCCTCCAGAGTCCAGTGGTCACTCAAGTGGACTCCTGGCTGGGTTTCCAGGAATTCCTCAGATACTATGTCAACCCAGATGGTTGGCTCCGCAGATGGCCATCTGGGCACAACTGCCTCGTGAGTCAGCAGCATCCACACAGAAGGTTCTGTGTGGCAGCTGGAAGGGTGGGAGGCCAGCCAGCCGCTCTTCCTGCCTTCAACCAACATGGGGGGACTCACGAAACTCAGGCTTTGGGGGGCAGAGCGGGCCTTTAACTGATCAGCAGTGAGTTCTCCATCCTATAATACAGTGATCTAGGAAACACTTGAATGGGTCATGTCCCTATTCTGCCTCGAAACCCCTGGGGCTCCCCTACTGTACTTGAAACATGATTTGGGCTCAGAGTTGCCCACAAACACCTTCACCCATGATGGTTCCTGGTGCCCCTGAGACACCAGTCCATCCATCTTCCTCCTTCCCCAGGTCCTAGCCCATCAGCTCCTCTGCCTAAGGGCCCACGAGGGCGCCATTTCAACATCACCTCCTCAGAGAGGCTTGCCCTGTCCATCCTGTGTAAGAGCCCCATGGCCTTCCATTTACACTTCTCCCTGTGTCTTCTTAGTGACTGAAACACTAAGAAAGAATAGGAAAGATCTCATGTGCCATGGCCCTCCTGGCATCACTATGCCTAGGTTAGTAACCAACTCAAAGAGGCCCCCTGATATACATT